TCCTGAGAAGGCCCCCTCCAGATCTCCGGGCCCCAACCCCCCAGACCCCAGCATGCCCTCTCCCCATAAACATGGACAGGAGGTACCTCTCTGAAGTCTCATAGATGGCCACCAGGCTGCTAGACTCCAAGGGGGGTTCCTCTCTCCCCAGAAACTGCAGAGAAAGGAAGGGGGTCTCAAGATTCTACCGAAGAAGGGCTTTTCCTTCTGCCACAATCTCTCTCCTTCCATCCCATTCTTTCTCTCAGGGCTGGAATTCCCAGACAGTGCTGGACTCCCACCCCCAACATTCCTCTCCATTGACCCTGCTGCCAGAGGCTGCTGGGATTTGCAGATAAACAACTCCTGAGGGCTCCAGGATTCCCACCCCTCTTCAGAGAAGGCCCACCTGGGGACCACAACGGAATAGCCCTACTTTCTTGGATGCCGACCACTGCCTTGGCCCAGCTTCTGAGAGACAGGCAGCAACATGTCTCCTCTTCATAAAGCTTTGTCTCCCTCCAGAGGAGGACATCTGTTCTGCTCTGGTCAGACCTTGCCTGGAATAAGACTGTGTCCAGTTCTTGGCACCAAAGGTCAGGAAAGATATGGACGAACTGAAATCTGTCCAGAGAAGGGCGACCCAAACTGTGAAAGGCCTGGAAATTATGATTCCCGCAGGAGCAGCTGAGGAAGCCAGGAATATTTGTCTTGGAAAGGAAAAGGCGGAGATGGGACATGAGGGCCATGTTTAAATATTTGGAAGAGTGTCCCATTTGGGGAGGTGGCAGGTTTGATTTCTGTGGCTACAGCTGCTGCTGGAGCATAGATTCATACATTCATAGAATCATACAGTTAACAGACACCCACAAAGGCCACCTAGTCCAGCCCCCTTCTGATAGTTCAACATGGCTCTCATTTCCCTCTCGGCCTTCTTTTCTCCAAGATAAACATACCCTATTTCCTGAGCTGCTCTTCATAGGAATTCATGGTTTACAGGCCTCATAGAAAGAGACCTGAGTGGCAGAAAGGGGTTGGCTTCCAGATCTATGATTGTATCCGTTGCCCTTCTCTAAACATATTCCAGCTTGTCAACAGCCTTCTTGAATCCCATCCACCCAAACATCCCATTCACCATGGAAAAAGAACATGAAGCAAAACTGCCATTTCTAGATGTTCTAGTCATCCACAAACCCAATCAACAATTGGGCCACACAGTTTACAGAAAACTACACACACAAATAGATACCTACATAAAAACTCCAACCATTACCCAATATTTTTTTTAAAAAGCACCATTAAAGCCCTGGCAGACTATGCAAAAAGCATCTGCAAACCCCACCTCCTCCAAGGTGACTTCAACCATCTAAACTGGCTTCTACCGGCCCATGGCTACTCCATCACCGACATGAGAAGAGCTGCAAGACCGAGAACGAGCCACGAGAGTAAAGACAAAGATCCACCCAGAGGAAACATGTTCTTACCATACATCAAGGGAACCACTGACCACAGAGAGAGAAGCTGATGAACAAACACAACCTACAAACTATCTATAGGCTCGCTAAGAAAATCCAACAAATGCTACGTTCAGCAAAGGATAAGAGAGATCCTCTCACCTCTGCAGGAGCTGCCGTTTATCATGCAGCTGTGGACAAGTCTACATAGAGACCACCAAATGCAGCATTGCCCAGACACAAATCAAGGAACATGAAAGGCACTGCAGACTCATTCAACCCAAGACGTCAGCAGAGCACCTGAGGAACCAACCTGGGCATAGCATATTATTTGAGAACACAGAAATGCTGGACCACTCTAACAACCACCATGTCAGGCTACACAGGGAAGCCATTGAAATCCACAAGCATGTGGACAATTTCAACATGAAAATAAACAATATCTGGCTACCAGTATTTAAAAAACTGTAAAATCAGGACAGTAAGTAAAGAACAACACTAAAAAAAACAGGAGAATTCCAGACTGGAAACAATGAGGGCCAGCTAAGCTCCTCCCAACAAATGATTCCCCCAGGCAGGAAACAGCCAAGCTTTGAGCTGCAAGATTATTCAATGCTAATCGAGGTGATCATTTTCAACATTCACGCTTGCCTCAAACAGAAAAGAGTTCTTTCTCCCACACGAGACATTTCACGGACACATAAACCACTTGCCTTGTTTCCAACAGACCTCACAATCTCTGAGGATGCTTGCCACAGATGTGGGCAAAACGTCATGAGTGAATGCTTCTGGAACATGGCCATACAGTCCGGAAAACTCCAAGCAATCCACTTCTTCAATGGCTTTGCCCAGAACTAGACACAGGGTTATTCCAGGTGAAGAGGTCTGACCAAAGCAGAAGGGAGTGGGACTAGGACGTCCCTCCATCTCAACACTGGGCTTCCATTGATGCAGCCTAGAACAGCGTGGACTTGGAAAGCTGCTGCAATATACTCTTGACTCATGTTCACTTTGTGGCCTATTAAGACAACTAATTCCGTTTCATATGGACTGTCGTCAAGTCAGAGGTCACCCATCCCATATCTAGGCATTTCATCTTTATTGCCCAAGTCTAGTACCCTATAGTTCTCCCTGTTGAAATCCATGTTATTAACATTGGCCCACCTGTTGACTCTCTTATTTATTTATTTATTTATTTATTTATTTATTTATTTAAAAGTTTTGTATACTGGCCTTCTCACCTCTCTTGAGGGACTCTTATTTTCCTTTTGGTCCCTTTTTCATGTGATTTTTTAATTTCATGAATCGGCCATGTAATTATTTATTAATCTATTTATTTAATATATTTCTACCCGGCCTTTTTCCGGAAGCGGACCCAAGGTGGCTTACAGCATATAAAACATACAATACAGAAATTAAAACATAGTTAAAATCAAATAGAATCATAGAATCATAGAGTTGGAAGAGACCTCTTGGGCCATCCAGTCCAACCCCCTTCCAAGAAGCAGGACAATCACATTCAAAGCACCCTCAACAGATGGCCATCCAGCCTCTGTCTATAAGCCTCCAAAAAAGGAGCCTCCACCACACTCCAGGCAGAGAGTTCCACTGCTGAACGGCTCTCACAGTCAGGAAGTTCTTCCTAATGTTCAGGTGGAATCTCCTTTCTTGTAGTTTGAAGCCATTGTTCCACGTCCTAGTCTCCAGGGCAGCAGAAAACAAGCTTGCTCCTGCCTATGACTTTCTCTCACATATTTATACATGGCTATCATGTCTCCTCTCAGCCTTCTCTTCTTCAGGCTAAATATGTTCAGCTCTTTTTTTAGTCACCCTCATCTGGTCACATTCCTGCTTGTCAATATCTCTCTTCAATTGGGGTGCCCAGAATTGGACACAGTATTCCAGATGTGGTCTGACCAAGGCAGAATAGAGGGGTAGCATGACTTCCCTGGATCTAGACACAAGACTCCTATTGATGCAGGACAAAATCGCATTGGCTTTTTTTACCGCCATATCACATTGTTGGCTTATGTTTAACTTGTTGTCCATGAGGACCCAAAGATCTTTGTCACACGTACTGCTCTCGAGCCATGCGTCCCCCATTCTGTATCTTTGCATTTCATTTCATTCAATCAATCATATCCTACCCAAAGAAAGACTCTGTGTCTGTGGCACCACCAACACCGGTTGAAAATCTGAACCACATATTACATAACTGCTGTTTGTATGAAAAACAAAGGAAACAACATTTATGGCCTTTCATTTGTCATAAAACGAGCTGGGATGCAGCGACCAAAACTACATTTATACTAACTGATTATAACCAGCTAGTATAAACTAGCTGGGGGAAAACAAGACTTTACTTTCTATTCTCATAGGTACAAAACATGGTCAAGGATCGAAATGGTTTGGTCCACAAAAAGTTTATCCACTAGGATTGATGAAATAAATATCCTAACCAGAGACCTATCTGATCATTGTCCTTTAGAAATAGTAATTAATCAGAAAAAACGGTCTCGAAAATGGAGATTGAATGAGAATTTATTTTAAAAGGGGGAGGATATTAAGAAATATAAGGAAATAACCCAGGGATATATAAAACTGAATGATACAAATGAAGTGAAGCCCCAAATAGTATGGGACACGTTCAAAGCAGTCCTACGTGGGCATTTCATACAACATAATGCAAGAAATAATAAACAGAAAAATAAGGAAATAAAGGAGATTGAAAGACAAATACAATTAAAAGGAAAGAACCTTAAGAGGGATCTAACAAACCGCTTATTAGTAAAGGTGCTACGAGAACTGAACCAGAAAAAACATCATTTAGAATTAGAATCCCAAGCAAAGCAATTGAAATTCCTTAAACAATCTCATTTTGAAAATGCTAACAAACTGGGCAGATGGCTTGCAAGACAGGTACGCAAGACAGGTACGCAAGAAGAAATAAGAATTAAACCATTATTCTAACTTTCTTCAATGTAAATATGCTTACATGTCCTCCAATAATAATAAATAGAGTAAAATAATAATAATAATAAAATAATGGAATGTAATAACAGTAATAAGAGTAAAATAATAAATGTAATTATAACAACAATAATAAAATAATAAATGTAATAATAATAATAACAATAACAAAGTAAGATAATAAATAACATTGACTCGAGTATAAGCCGGGGGAGACTTTTTTAGCCTAAAAAAAGGACTGAAAAACTAGGCTTATACTCGAGTATATACAGTAATTACATAATATTGGCGAAGACACAGAATGGAAGTCAAAGACTTTTTTCTTTTTTCCAAATTTTTTCTATTTTTTTTATTTTTTAGGTATATATGTGTTTTTTACATTTTTTTTCAAGTCCATTTCTATCTCCTCTTATATATTTTCCTACTTTTCTATAATCTTAATGTTCTCCCATTTTCAATGTAAATCTAATAAAAATTGTTTTCTTTGTGTGCATATAATAAAAATCAATTTTTTAAAGAAATGTTCCCACATCTACGGAACCTATCTTGTTTGTAACTTGGGGACTACCTGTATATCTAAGAGGCCGCCTTCCTTACCTCAAATGCTGGCAGTACTTGGATGAAGCATGTCCGGAGAGAGGGCTCCTCCGCGCGGGTTCCTTGTGGCTCCGAAGAGCTGAAAGGGGCAAGAGAAGGCCACAAAGTGTGAGAGACTGGGGCAGCCCACCCCATCCAGGGGTCCTGCAAACCCCCCATCCACTCCCTCCCTCCCTCCAACAGGGGTCAGGCTGATGGTCCAGGAAGTCCACAGGGCACCATGAGGACATCCTTATTCTCCACTCCGAGGGACTCTAGCAAGGGATTGACCCTTGGAACTGGCTGCCACTGGGAAGGAGGGAGAGGAAGAGCACTAGCAACTGGGGTCTGCATGCAGACTGAGTGGCAGTTTGGGATTGGGAGGAGGAGAGGGATTTGCATGTGGCTGGCAACTGGCTGGCCCTTTCCACACTCACATTCAGATCACCCAATCAGCAACCATTTGCAAATTCCCTCTCCCCTCACAACCCACTTCTGCAACCTAATCTGCATACACACCCCTCCCTCCCTGAGGCCCCTCCCTCATGCCCCTCCCACTGCTAAGCTCCTCCCACAAGCTCTTAATTAATGCCTAGACTCACACTGGCTCCCAAACTGTTGCATGGAACCATAGGGGTTCTACACAAAAAATAATCTTAAAATCAAATTTGAAAGGGATTTTAAAATCAATCTACACTCAACTCAATATTGGATTGTCTCTAATGAGAAGGAAGGGGGAACGCAGGTGATCTCCAAATCCTTTTTTTGCTTATGCTTCCACCAAACACGGTTTGGCAGTTGAATACCACCCTTGATTTATGTCCTCAGCTGTCAGACATCAAGCCTTCATTCAAAACTAAAACGATGGTTTGTGGTTATATTTTGAATATTTTCTCTTCATGTCCATACCTATTGAATTATACAGAAAACTCAGGCAATAGGAATAGAAAAAAGGAAGAACTTTGTGGAATCCCAATTTAAATGGTTTAAAAAATACAGCAAGAGTTAGGGTTCTGCAGGAAATAAATGTCTTCTAAAAGTTTCCATAGGAGCCCCCGGTGGCACAAATGGGTTAAACGCTTGCGCCAGCAGGACTGAAGACCTGCAGGTCAGAGGTTCGAATCTGGGGAGAGCATGGATGAGCTCCCTCTGTCAGCACAAGCTCCCTTATGTGGGGACATGAGATAAGCCTCCCACAAGGATCGTGAAACATCAAAACATCCGGGTGTCCCCTGGGCAACGTCCTTGCAGATGGCAAATTATCTCAAACCAGAAGTGACATGCAGTTTCTCAAGTTGCTCCTGACACAAAAAAAGGGGGGTGGGGTTCATGACCGGAAAGGCTTGGGAATCACTGGCCCAAACTATAGGCCTCTCTCACATAAAACATTCTAAGATGCCATCGGTTTTAAGACTCACACTAATTTCAGCATCACCCAAAAGCTATCTATAATAAAACATAACCATAAAATAAGCCCTAGTATGATATTTCATGATCCTTGTAAATAAGAACTACCCCCATAATAAGTCCTAGTTAAGATCGTCAGCCAGATTGAGGCATTTACTGGTAATACATCCATTACAATACAAGACAGACATGTTGTTGTTGTTCATTCGTTCAGTCGTCTCCGACTCTTTGTGACCTCATGGACCAGCCCACACCAGAGGTCCCTGTCGGCTGTCACCACCCCCAGCTCCTTCAAGGTCAGTCCAGTCACTTCAAGGATGCCATCCATCCATCTTGCCCTTGGTCGGCCCCTCTTCCTTTTGCCTTCCACTTTCCCCAGCATAATTGTCTTCTCTAGGCTTTGCTGTCTCCTCATGATGTGGCCAAAGTACTTCAACTTTGTCTCTATATCCTTCCCTCCAATGAGTAGTCGGGCTTTATTTCCTGGAGGATGGACTGGTTGGATCTTCTCGCAGTCCAAGGCACTCTCAGAACTTTCCTCCAACACCACAGTTCAAAAGCATCTATCTTCCTTCACTCAGCCTTCCCTACGGTACAGCTCACACATCCGTAGGTTACTACAGGGAATACCATGGCTTTGACTAGGCGGATCTTTGTTGCCAGACTTGATTTATTATAGACTCAATGCATGCTAAAATATTAATTTTAATATATAATTAAATATTTATAAATAATAATATTGACATTATATTATGACAATGTAACAGAAGATGAAATGACTAGATTTGAATGTGTAGATTTTTGTGCATGAGAAAACAAGACACCCCCTGCAAATAAGTCTAATGTGTCTTTTGGAGCAAAAATTAATATCAGAGCCAGTCATCTTTCTGGGGAAATTCGGTACATACACAACTTAAACTCTGCTGGAAAAGCCCTCCCTCGATCCCCTGGGCCTTAACAATCACAGACCAGTTTTTCTGTTCATAGAAACATGGCTACTTCCGGTGGGACAATTATGAACGGAAAGATGGATTAGCCATGGGGAGACCTCTCATCCCGGTCGTAGAAAAATTCTACATGGAACACTTGGAAAAACAAGCCCTGGAAACAGCCACAAAAAGTTCAGATATGTGGATGACACCTTCACCATTTGGAGCCATGGAGGAGTAGAACTAAACAAGTTCCTGGACGACCTCAACAGCATCCACACAAACATCCAATTCACCATAGAAAAAGAAAATGATGGAAAACTGCCATTGAAATTTTGGCCTTTTAAATCTCATATATTGAACTGATAGCATTATTAAATCTGCAAATCTCACCACCTCCAACGTGAATTGAACCACCTAAACTGAGCTCTACAGGCCAATCTCTACTCCACCACAGAGATCAGAAGAGCTACAAGACCAACAACAAGCCACGCGAGTAAAGACCAAGATGCACCCAGAGGAAAAGTGTTCTTGCCATACATCAAGGGAACCACTGACCACACAGAGAGAAGCTGATGAACAAACACAACCTACAAACTATCGACAGACCCACAAAGAAAATCCAACAAATGCTATGTTCAGCAAAGGACAAGAGGGATCCTCTCACCTCTGCAGGAGTCTACCATATACCATGCAGCTGTGGGACCACCAAATGCAGCATTGCCCAGGCATGAATCGAGGACCATGAAAGGGACTACAGACTTATTTAACTAGAGAAGTCAGCCATAGCAAAGCACTTGATGAAACAACTGGCTACTTCATCACACTAGAGCACTGTTTCTCAACCTGGGGGTCGGAATCCCTGAGGGAAGGAGTCGCGAGGGGATGCCAGAGGGGTCACCAAAGACCATCAGAAAACACAGTAATTTCTGTTGGTCATGGTGGTTCCGTGTGGGAAGTCTGGCCCAATTCTATCGTTGGTGGGGTTCAGAATGCGTCTTGACTGTAGGTCCCAGCAACAACTTGCTGTACATACAACTACAACTCCCAAATGTCAAGGTCTATTTTCCCCAAACTGCACCAGTGTTCACTTTTGGGTATATTGATTATCCGTGCCAAGTTTGGTCCAGATCCATCATTGTTTGAATCCACAGAATCCACAGTACTCTCTGGATGTAGGTGAACTACAACTCCAAAACTCGAGGCTTTCTGTATATATTTCAGATTTCAAAATTAATATCAAAAATCGTAGTATGATTTTACATAGGATTTGTGCTACATTCAGTGCCATGTCAGACTACATAGAGAAGTAACTGAAATCTCCAAGCATATGGACAATTTCAACAGAAAGGGGGAAACAATGAAAATGAACAGAATCTGGCTACCAGTATTGAAAAACTCTAAAATCAGGACAGTACATAAGGAAAACCATCAGGGCTAACTAACACCTCCCAACAAAGGATTCCCCCGGCAAGAAACAGCCAGACTTTGAAGCTGCAAGGCCATTCAATGCTAATTAATGCAGGTAGGCAATTGCAACATTCACACTTGCCACAAGCAGACAAGAGTTCTTTCTCCCACCCTGGACATTCCAGAGATATATAAACCTCTCTTGCCTCGTTTCCAGCAGACCTCTCAACCTCTGAGGGTGCCTGCCATAAATGTGTGCGAAACGTCAGGAGAGAATGTTTCTGGGACATGGCCATACAGCCCGGAAAACTTACAGCAACCCAGTGATTTCGGCCATGAAAGCCTTCAATAACATATTAAATACATAAACTAATAAGAATAATTAAGGGGAGCCCTTATTGATAAGATCTGGAAGAGAAGACAGGAAGAACATGGGACAACATAAGAAGAAATGATTACCAGCTTTAACGTCAGATGTCAAGGCTACGCTCTATTTTGTTATTGACGTTATATGGAATTTTAAATACTTTAGACCAGTGATTCTCAACCTGGGGATCGGGACCCCTGGAGGGGTCACCCGGGAGTGTCAGAGGGGTCACTAAAGACCACCAGAAAACCAACAGCACTGTATTTTCTGTTGGTCATGGGAGTTCTGTGTGCCAAGTTTGGTTCAATTCCATCATTGGTGGAGTTCAGAATGCTCTTTGATTGTAGGTGAACTATAAATCCCAGCACCTACAACTCCTAAATGTCAAGGTCTATTTTCCCCGAAGTCCACAAGTGTTCACATTTAGTCATACTGAGTATTCTTGCCAAGTTTAGTCCAGATCCATCATTGTTTGAGTCCACAGTGCTCTCTGGATGTAGGTGAACTACAACTCCCAAACTCAAGGTCAATGCCCACCAAACCCTTCCAGTATTTTCTGTTGGTCATGGCAGTTCTGTGTGCCAAGTTTGGTTCAATTCCATTGTTGGTGGAGTTCAGAATGCTCTTTGATTGTAAGTGAACTATAAATCCCAGCAACTACAACTCCCAAATGACAAAATCAACCGCCCAACCCGACCAGTATTCAAATGTGAGCGTATCAGGTATTTGTGTCAAATTTGGTCCAGTATCAGATATTTACATGACGATTCATAACAGCAGCAAAATGACAGTGATAAAGTAGGAAGGAAAATAATTTTATGGTTGGGGGTCACCATCACATGAGGAACTGTATTAAGTGGTCGCAGCATGAGGAAGGTTGAGAACCACTGCTTTAGACAGTGTGTGTAATAGTAACTGAGATGAAGAAAGAGATGTAATAATTGTAACAAATACAAGGCTTCTCTTCTCCCCCAACCCTGTCGCTCTCCCTCGGTGACATATGGTAATATTAGACAACCTTTGTAAAGACCTAATTTAGAAACAAGAACTCCACAAATCCTCTTTTTTTGTTTTGTTTCTCTTTTCGGTACTGTCCCATTACCCAGGTGGAGCCCCCAGTGGGGCAGTGAGTTAAAGCGCTGAGCTGCTGAACTTGCTGACCAAAAGGTGGCAGGTTTGAATCTAGGGAAGGCGTGAGCTCCCACTGTTAGCCCCAGCTTCTGCCAATCTAGCAGTTTGAAAATATGCAAATGTGAATAGATGAATAGGTACCGCTTTAGTGGGAAGGTAATGGCACTCTATACAGTGATGCCAGAGCACAGTCTGTTCAGCGCCTTCCAAGTCGCCCAGTCTTCTGTGTGCCCAGGGGGGACATGAGAGAAGCCTCCTCACAGGATTGCAAGACATCCGGGCGTCCCCTGGGCAACGTCTTCATAGACGGCTGATTCTGTCACTCCAGAAGCAACCAGAAGCGACCTTGGAGGTGTCTATGGACAACTCTTTGTCTTAGAAATGGAGATAAGCGCCAACCCCCAGAGTCAGACACGACTGGATTTAATGTCAGGGGAAAACCTTTACCTTTTACCTCCATTACCCGGACGGAAGCCAAAAGAGGGCCTAGACAGAGAGGGATACTCCATTTTAGGACCTGGGTGGAGTTGAAGGAGGAAAACCATTTTCCCCATTTTCACTGGTTATCACCCCTCCCCACTTCCCATTTCATCAACGAGGGCTATTTCCATGATGGTGACATGGGGGGGGGGGATAACAGAAAAACAGGGGGAAATGCTTTTATTTCTTCAAATACCCCCCTCCCCATAGACTATCCTTCTCTGTCTAGTGTCCCCTTTTGGCCTCCGCCCAGATAATGGAACAGAACCTTCCATTTGCCCAGAAAAACCTACAACAACCCAGAACTTTCTTTACTTATTGTTTGAAAAAAATGGAACTTGAAAATCTATATAATTAAAAATGTAATGTTCATTCGTGGGATTAACATAACTCAAAAACGACTGGACGAATTGCCGCCAAATTTGGACACAGTACACCTATCAGGCCAACAAGTAACCATCACTCATAAAAACACTGAAAAACACAGTAGAAGAGACTTTAAAAGCCAAAAAACAAAAAATGAATTACAATGCATGCACAAGACCCCATATATATACAAACACACATATATACACATATTTATTATTTATTTATTTACAATATTTATAGCCTGCCTTTCTCAGTTATACGGTGACTCCAGGCGCGTTATAGATTAGCATAATTTGATGCCAGCCCTTCATAAAAGTGCAATTAAAAACAATCAACATGACAATATAAAACAGATATGAAAACCATTAAAACATATAATCATCAGTGTCATCCTGTTACAAACGTTATCCAGTAACATTGTCTGGCCATTCCGTGTTCATCACTCATAATTCCGTGTTATCTATTCCGCTGCATTCTCAAAAGCTTGCTCAAAGAGCCAGGTCTTTTTTCCGGAAAGTCAGGAGGGAAGAGGCCTATCTAATACCCCTGGGGAGGGGGTTCCATAGTCGGGGGGTCACTACTGAGAAGGCCCTGTCCTAGTTTCCACCAATCGCACTTGTGAGGCAGGCAGGGTCGAGAGCAGGGCTTCCCCAGACAATTTTAAGCTCCTAGATGGTCCATAGGAGAAGGTACGTTTGGATAGGTAAGCTGCGCCGGAATCGTTTAGGGCTTTATAGGCTAAAGCCAGCACTTTGAATTGTGCTCGGTAGCAAATTGGCAGCCAGTGGAGCTGACGCAACAGAGGAGTAGTGTGCTCCCTGATGCTGCTCCTGTTAGTAACCTGGCGGCCGCCCGAAAGATCTTCAAAGACAACCCCACATAGAGCGCGTTGCAGTAATCTATTCGGGATGTAACAGAGCAATGGACCACCTGGCCAAGTCAGACTTCCCAAGGTACGGGCGCAGCTGGCGCACAAGCTTTTAACTGTGCAAATGCTCCCCTGGTCACCCAAACTGAGGTTCCAGGCTCAGCGACGAGTCCAAGATCACACCCAAGCTGCGAACCTGTGTCTTCAGGGGGAGTGTAACCCCGTCCAACACAGGCTGTAACCTTATGCCCTGTTCGGCCTTACGACTGACCAGGAGTACCTCTGTCTGGTCTGAATTTCAATTTCAATTTGTTCACCCTCATCCAGATCATCACAAATATATATACACACACAACACATATACACAGACAGGGCCACAGCAACGCGTGACAGGGGACGGCTAGTGCTCAACACAAACTTATGGAAAAAAAGCCAAAATGCTAAGTTTGGGAGTCAAAAAGGGAGGTGCGACTATTGCATGATGAAACTATTATGTGCTGAAATACGTCTCCCAAAGGCCCTTCCCTCTGCCCTCCACCAGCCAATCACCTCCTACATGCAAATTCACTTAAAATCAAGAAAATCCACTTATCACAATTTGCATATAACCCTTCTCACACAGGGGCCCCTCCCTCCTCTCCCTCCCCCTCCCTCTCCCTCCCTCCTCTCCCTTCCCCTCCCTTGGCCAATCACCTCCCACATGCAAATTCCCTTAAACTCACAATCCCCTCTTTCCACAATTTGCATATACCCTCCTCCCAGGGGCCCCTCCCTCCTGTCTCTCTCCCTCCCCAGCCAATCTCCTCCCACATGCAAATTGCATTAACTCACAATCCCCACATGTCACACTTTGCATATACCCCTCCCAGTAGCCCCTCCCTCCTCCCCCTTACTGGCCAATCACCTCTCACATGCAAATGTCCCTCACAATCCCCTCCTCCCACCCCTCCCTTGGGGCTCGGACCCCCAAAGGCACTCCCTGACAGTTGAATTGGGACCCAAAGGCAGCAAGCAGCCCCCCTCCTCCTCTGGGGACCCCTCCTTTCTTGGGCCAGGGCTTCCATTTGGGGGGGAGGGAGGGGAAGGGGCCCCAGGGGCTTACCTTGGAAGAGCCACAGGAACCTCCTCTGTGTTTTCGGGGCCCACGTGGCGGAAATGTGGGCGCCTCATCCAGGCATTCTGCAAAAGTGGAGGGAGGCAATGAAGGGGGCCCTCCCTGCCAGAGCAGGGCTGGCCCCGGGGCCCCAAAGGGAGCGGGAGGGGAGGGTTCCCCGAGGGAGCGTGGCCCTTACCCTGAGCCATGTCACCAGGGCCGTCCCAAGGGGAGCGCGCGGAGGGGCCTGGGTCGGAGGGGCATCTGTGGGGGGCGGCTCCGGCCGGACCTGCCTGGAGAGCCCTCTGCCCATGATGGCGCCCAGGAAGGCAATGGCAGGGCCAACCGACTCCTGGCCCTTTGGAACCCTCGGTCTCCATGGCAACCAGGTAAACACCTCCGGGCTTGGAACCTGGGCAGGAATGGAACCTTTTCAAAGGAAAACAACCAACAGCCAGGAAATGCTCTTGGGAGGGAGGGAGGGAGGGAGGGAGGGAGGGGCAGGGAGGGGGGGAGAGTGGCCCTGGCGCCTTCCCTTTTCCTGCCCTTTACCTTGGAGGGTGGATTCAGGGGCCACAGGGACCCCTGGAGCCCCACGCAGAGACCCCCTTGGCTCCTCTTCTGGGAGGAAAGGTCTCTCCCTCCCGCTCTGGAGGCTCCCTGGTTCTTCCCAAGGCCAGAGGCTGCCAAGGGGGTTTGTCTTCAGGTGATGATATCATTGTGATACACCATGAACTTAGGCCCCATACACAAGACCATAACTTCTGACGGGTCGATCACAACACCCATTGTCCTCACCCACCCTGCCTTCCTGGATGATGGGAGTCACAGTCCAACAAATCTGGAAGTGCCCTTATTAAAGAAGGGCGATTTAAGACTTCCTTTTGAAGAGAGCCGAGTTCCTGATCAAACTGAATTGAGATCCCAAAAGAGAAAACACAAAACACCCCAAGGAGGTTCAAAGAGGCAGAAGTGTGACTCCTGGGGGGGAGATCCCATTGCAAACGATGAAATAATGACTTGGTTCATTTCTAAATGCAGTCACAACCCTCAGTGCTTGATTTTAATAATAGTAAAATCATTTAAAGCTAAGCAGGTTTTTGACACTTCACAGTATACAGTATCCACTTTGCTGTCAGCCGATCCCTTTGTGATTTTTCCTGACGGAAACTTCAGGCCTGAGATTCTTTGAGGATCAGCCTCAATGGGACCTTCTTGGTCAGGAGGCGGGCCATTCCCAAAGGGAGACGGAGAAGAGCGAAATGGCGCTTGAGAGGCAAAGGACGCCTTTCGAACTGGGAGGAAAGTCTCTTGGGATGTCGACCGCTCTCTGAGACTGAGTTTACAGTGGAGGGTACATGGTTTTTTAAAAAAAGGAAGTTTCAGAGATGTTCCCAATGCCTATATGTCACGATTTAGGCCTATGTTTACAGAAAATGCTGATTGTTTGAGAAATCAGTGCTCCAAAGAAAAAGTTACTATTCAAGGATAACAGTATATCCGGGCAAAAGCCAGCTAGCTGATGGCTAGTTAGTACCCCCCAAATTTCCCAGTCGCTCATAAGCAGTGTTTGCAACAGACTAACAGATAAGATACTGTCATGGTCAGAGAACAATGGACCATAGCTATGTTATAGTTGTGTAATTGTTAGGATCCTACGTGTGCTATAATGTCAATCAAAATCATAAACAACAAATGAACACCTGTATAGCTAGCTTAGACCAATGAAATGATTTGTCTTTGGGAACCAATGAAAATGTATATTCCATTTACTATAAAAGCTCTGCAGCCCCATTGGGGGTTGCGACAAACCTTTTGATTGCATTCCTGTATGCTTGTTTGTCGTTATTGCTATGGCCACGCAATAAATAACTTTTTGCAGTTTAAAAGATTCAACTTTTGTGGTGTCCATCCTTGCCCTCCCCATTAGAAAGGGGGCTTCTGCCGTTTTGGGAATTATTTTGGTTTCTTTGCTCCTACACCTGAATCTTGTCCACTTGCACAATTACTACAATGAAAAAGTAACAACATTCCGTTACTCCCAAATGTCAAGGTCTGTTTTCCCCAAACTCCACCAGTGTTCACCTTTGGACATATTGAGTATTCATACCAAGTTTGGTCCAGATCCATCATTGCTTGAGCCCACAGTGCTCTCTGAATGTAGGTGAACTACAACTCCAAAACTCAAGGTCAATGCCCCCCAAACCCTTCCAGTATTTTCTGTTGGTCATGGGGGTTATGTGTGGGAAGTCTGGTTAAATACTATTATTGGTGGAGTTCAGAATGATCTTTGAATGAAGGTGAACTACAAATCCCAGCAACTACACCTTCCAAATGATAAAATCAATCTCTCCCCCAACCCCACCAGTATTCAAATATGGGTGTATCAAGTATTTGTGCCAAATTTGGTCCAGTGAATGAAAATACGTTCTGCATATCAGATATTTACATAACGATTCATAACAGTAGAAAAATTACAGTTATGAAGTAGCAACGGAAATAATTATATATGGTTGGGGGTCACCACAACACGAGGAACTAGGTTGAAGTATGATAGCTGGTACTGAGTCCAGGTAGCATTACGCCAATGCAGATAGCGCAATCTGGTAGCACGATAGCACTGAACTCATAGCGCAACCCAGCGGCAGGATACCACTGAACTTATTTACCACAGACAGAACACAGATAACAGTGAAGTAATCCTTCCCTGTTTATTGCCCCACTTTCTGTCTCCCCTTTCTCCCCCCTCCCCCTACATCTCTCACTGTTCTGTTGCGCGTTGGGCCTGTAAAGAATTTCCTTTAAGCCCTTTGCCCAGGAGAAGTTCTCAGAGGTTTTCCATCAGAAATGATCTTTAGATGGCTTGTGAAGTATAACAAAGTCTTTTATTAATGAACAATCAAACAGAAACTTCTCTTGACTTCAGTAAAGTTAAGCAAATGATTCCAAGCTTTTAGGCAACTGGTGAATTCCTAATCTTGCCCACGAAGGATAGGCAACTGTCTTCAATAACTTCTTCTTTAAAGGAAAATCCCCTTTTTAACTTCTTCCAGGCTGACTGTAATCTAACCCTTACTGATGTGGGCTCCGCTACCGGGTCGAACTGCTTCTCGAACGCCGAGTGGACCTACCAGTAAAGGCTTAGATGTTCTCCAGCTGGAGTTGTTTGGTCTTTAGGGCTGTTTATTACTGCGCTTGTATACCGCCGTTTCTCAGCCTACATTGGCGACTCAACGCGGTTTCCCTGGAAAGTCTTTGGAGACTCTGAAGACTGTTCTCCCCCGGAAATTCGTCAAAGCTTCCCTGGAGTTCTCTGGTTTGCTATTATGACTGTTTCCCCCCCAGAAAGCCTTAAGACTGTTCTCCCCCGGAAAGTCCTCAGGGGTTGAAGCTTTTGTACAGGGGAAGCTTGCACACGTCCTGTACATTAGCTTTCCTTGCTGAGACTAACTAAAAAATGGCTCCCTTCCCTTCCCAATTGCCCTGAGCAAGGGGCGGAATCAAAACTTAACGATGATGGACAGGTGACTTGCCCTATGACTGCAACCAAAAGAAGCCACCTATCTGCAGAGTGTCTGAAACCTAGGACTGCAAGCAAACATTTAATACAAAGCAAATAAAATTGGGGCTCCTGGTACAGCTGTACCAGAACACTCACTCTGCCCGTTCTCACTCCGCCCACTCTCGCAACCACGTGTTCACACACGTGTTCCTCATTCACAACCACAGTTGCGGAATCAGCGTAGCGCTATCAGCACTTGGTACCAGCTATTATACTTTTACCAGGAACTGTATTAAGGGGTTGCAGCATTAGGAAGGTTGAGAAACACTGCTCTAGTGCGATGAAATTGACAGACCAGAAAACAAACAACACAAGGGTGTTACATATATTTGGCTGGAGCTACACTTAAACATATATCTGTTCCAACTTACATACAAATTCAGTTTAAGAACAAACCTACAGAACCTATGTTGGTCTAACTTGGGAACTGCTTGTATTAAGGCATGGCAGCTAAGGTGCATTATTCTGAGTTGATCCAGGCTTTCCTAAGAAGTCAGTTGTTTTCCTGGAAAGGGGATGAATTGAGCCTTCAGCTGAAAACGAAACTACATTCAGAGGCAACAATCCCATTCTGTTGCAACAGGAAGCAGGGAGGGCTGGCTTCCTTCTTGCTCGTTATTTGAAACAGAGGTGTTGACACTAGGAAAGAGGCTTCAGATTCCAGCACTTACAATCAAGGACCCGAGTTTGACAGATCCTTAAGAGCCAGAGGTAAGACTGGTGAAAAAGTCGCAATTGCACTTTAAGGCGTGCAGAGCAACTGCTTGGCAGGTTCCTGCCTCTGTGTAAATCTCAGTGCTTAAATGGAGATGAGAAAGCAAATAAGGGGGAATGCGTTTAGGATGGGAGGGGGCAATAATAGGGGCTCTAAAAAGAAGAAAAAGATGATAAGGTTTTGCTAAGGGCCAAATAATAGGAGAAAAAGTCCAGTATAGTGGGACATGATCTTATTAAAAGTCATTATCTCCTTATTAAAATCTCTCAAATAAAGACTGAAAAGTATTTCTGGTATGTGTTGCAATGGATGCAGTTTAATACCACTTTCACTGCCACGGGACCCTTGGATTTGTAGTTTGGGGAGACACAGCACTCCATGGCAAAGAAAGCTAGAGACCTTGTGAAACTACAATTCCCAGAAGTCCATGGCATTGAGCCACAGCCGTGAGAATGGTGTCAAACAGGAATAATTCTATAGTGCAGTGGTTCTCAACCTGGGGTCCCCAGATGTTTTTGGCCTTCAACTCCCAGAAATCCCAGCCAGTTTACCAGCTGTTAGGATTTCTGGGAGTTGTAGACCAAAAACATCTGGGGACCCAAGGTTGAGAACCACTGCTATAGTGCACTGCAGATGTTAGGAGCCCCGGGGGCACGGTGGGTTAAAGCACTGAACTGCTGAGCTTGTTGACCGAAAGGTCGCAGGTTCGAATCCTGGGAGCGGTGTGAGCTTCCGCTGTTGGCCCCAGCTTCTGCCGACCTAGCAATTCAAAAACATGCAAATGTGACTAGATCAGTAGGTACCGCTCCGGCGGGAAGGTAACGGCACTCCATGCAGTCATGCCAGCCACATGACCTTGGAGGTGTCTACGGACAACACCAGCTCTTCGGCTTAGAAATGGGGATGAGCACCACACCCAAGAGGCGGACACAACTGGACTTCATTTCTGGGGAAAACCTTTACCTTTATCTACCTGCACATGTTCCCAGTGGAAACCATTTATCAGCCTCATCAGCCAAAGTAATAGCAAATTCGTATGATCCTCAGATCATACTAGTTATTAATAAAATTAGACACTAGAGGATAATTTATTGGTGAGAAGGTTGACAGAAGTAGCTTGTAAATATCAGTGACTCAGCCAGTGAAGGGAGGGTAGTTAGGAAAAGGCAAAGTTTTAGGGTGTGATTTGTTGCTGTTCTGTGATATCATAGACTACCTGTACCCGCCACACGTTGCTGTGGCCAGACTTCCTCTTTCTCTCCTTCTTTATTTCTCTCCTTCCTTCCTTCCCTCTTTCCTTCCTTCCCTCTTTTTTCCCCTTCTTCTTCCTTCCTTCTCTATTTCTTTTCTCGATTCCTTTGCTCTTTGGTTCTTTCCTTCCCTCCCTCTTTCTGTCTTTCGTTCTTCTCTCCTCCTTCCCTCTTTCACTTTTTTTATTTCCTTCTTTCCTTCCTTCCTACTTTACCTTTCTTTCTTTCCTTCTCTCCTTCTTTCCCTCTTTCTCTCCAGCCTTCTTCCTTCCTTCTGCCTTTCTGTGTATGTTTTGTGTGTTCATATATGTGCGTATATATTTCTGCATATATTTGTGTATATGTGTATATATGTGTTTATGTGCATATGTGATTTTGCACATGCGTTGGAATTTTATTTAATTTTTTTGCTTTTTAAGTCCCTTCCGCTGTGATTTTCAGTATTTTTATGAGTGGTGGTCACTCATTGACCTGATAGGTGTATTGTGTCCAAATTTGGTGTCAATTCGTCCAGTGGTTTTTGAGTTATGTTAATCCCACAAACGAACATTACATTTTATTTATATAGTTCCCTTAATTATATTTCAGAACTTATGTTTTGACACAAGTAACGGTTGACTTGAAGGCACTGGCTTTTAAATGTTTGTTATTATTTTCACTGGATTATTTTCATTGGATTATGTTTATGTTTTATAATGTTTCATTTCTGTATGATTTTTGTGTCGTTCGGCAATTGAATGTTTTGCTCTCTGTTGGAAACCACCCTGAGTCCTCTCGGGAGAGATAGGGCAGTATCTAAATAAAGTTTTATTTTATTTATTATTACATGGTAGCAATAGAGCCAGTATTAGCATAAGTTATAATAGAGATCAGCAAACCACTATTCAGTAAACTTGTCTTTTACAATCATAAGTTATCAAACTTCGTAAACATTTTGGGTAGAGCTGTTGTTCACATTTGGAGGTTAATTGTATTAACTGCATAATTACACCATGGGAAGCAGTAAATAAAACATATTTTCTTTAAATTCATTTGAAGTGATGAAGGAATTACCATTTCCAAAGAGGAAGTCATTTTTCTGCCAATTACACAATGCAGTTTGGTTCATAGCTTTGTTCCTTTTCTCATCGTTTCTCTCTTTTAGGTCAAAATTATCTCCTTGAAATGTCGTTCTACAAGACAACCAAATCTTTGGCAAAAGAACTGAACTCAGAAGGAGATTTGATCCCCGTATGCAGCATTGTAGACAACGACCACTATCGGCCTCTTTGCCTGCTTTACAGAAAGGCAAAGTCTTCATGGTGGAAGGCGAACTCTTTTCGTAAAACTGAATACAAACTCACAGATGTACTTTGTTCTGGCGGCCATGCTATAAAATTAGGTAACATCTAAGATGAAGTAATAATGAAGAGACATAGATTGGAATAGTTGAATTCTCTGATATTGAACTTCTTTCCTGGTGAGATTAGATCAGCCCCCTCCCTCCAGTCCTTCAGAAGGATGGCTGTGGGACCAAGCTTTTGGGACAATGAAATAAGACAGCAATTGGAAACCTCACCTTGCCAACTAGTAGCTACTTCATCACACTAGATAATGAATCCACTTTAAATCTGGCTGCTGTCTCCTGTAGAATTTTGAGATTTGTAGTTTAGGGAGGAGCCTTTAACAGCCTCACTAAACTACAAACCCCAGAATTCTACAGGAGGCAGGAACCAGATTTAAAGTGGATTCATTATCTAGTGCAATGGTCCTCAACCTGGGGGCCGGGACCCCTGGAGGGGTCACGAAGGAGTGTCAGAGGGGTCACTGAAGACCATCAGAAAACACAGCAGTTTATGTTGATCATGGGGGTTCTACGTGGGAAGTTTGGCCCAATTTTGTCATTTGTGGGGTTCAGAATGCTCTTTGATTGTAGGTGAACTATAAATCCCATCAACTACAACTCCCAAAATATCAAGGTCTATTTTCCCCAAACTCCACCAGTGTTCACATTTGGGCATATTGAGTATTCGTGCCAAGTTTGGTCCAGATCCATCATTGTTTGAGTCTACAGTGGTCTCTGGATGTAGGCGAACTACAACTCCAAAACTCAAGGTCAATGCCCACCAAACCCAGTATTTTCTCTTGGTCATGGGAGTTCTGTGTGCCAAGACTGGTTCAATTCCATCGTTGGTGGGGTTCAGAATGCTCCTTGATTGCAGGTGAACTACAAATCCCAGCAACCACAACTCCCAAATGACAAAATCAACTCCCCCTAACCTCACCAGTATTCAAATCTGGGCGTATAGGGTATTTGTGGCAAATTTGGTCCAGTGAATGAAAATACATCCTGCATATCAGATATTTACGAATGATAGCAGTAGCAAAATGACAGTTAAGAAGTAGGAAGGAAAATAATTTTATGGTTGGGGGTCACCACAAAATGCGGAATTGTCTTAAGGGGTCGCAGCATGAGGAAGGTTGAGAACCACTGCTCTAGTGTGATGAAGTGGTAGATTTGGCGCGGATGACCGAGACAGTTTTAGACAGTGGTTTAAATGTTGAGATCAATGATTTTAATGTTTATGTATGCACATAATTTATTTGTCCCGGCATTGAATGTTTGCCATTTGTATGTTGTGAGAAGGGCGGAATATAAATGCTTTAAATAAATAATAATAAATATTTGCTAATGATAATTGCTTAACAAGTGAACTTAACAATAATTACATAATGTGCATTAATCACTGCTTTGATTTGCAAACAACACTGTGTATTGATAATTGCCCAATAATAATTGACCTCACAACCTCTGAGTATGCTTGCCATAGATGCAGGTGAAACGTCAGGAGAGAATGCTTCTAGAACAGTGGTTCTCAACCTTCCTAATGCTGCGACCCCTTAGTACAGTTCCTTATGTTGTGGTGACCCCCAACCATAACATTATTTTCATTGCAACTTCATAACTGTCATGTTGCTACTGTTATGAATCGTAATGTAAATATCTGATATGCAGGATGGATTTTCATTCACTGGACCAAGTTTGACCCAAATACCCGATACGCCCAAATTTGAATACTGGTGGGGTTGGGGGGGATTGATTTTGTCATTTGTGAGTTGTAGTTGCTGGGATTTATAGTTCACCTACAATCAAAGAGTATTCTGAAGTTCACCAACAATGGAATTGAACCAAACTTGGCACACAGAACTCCCATGACCAAGAGGAAATACTGGGAGTGTCTGGTGGACATTGACCTTGAATTTTTGGAGTTGTAGTTCACCTACATCCAGAGAGCACTGTGGATTCAAACAATGATGAATCTGGACTAAACCTTGCACAAATACTCAATATCCTCAAATGTGAACACTGGTGGAATTTGGGGAAAATAGACCTCAGCATTTGGGAGTTTTAGTTGCTGGGATTTATAGTTCACCCACAATGAAATAGCATTCTGAACCTCACCAATGATAGAATTGGATCAAACTTCCCACACAGAACCCCCATGACTAATAGAAAATACTTTGTTTTCTCATGGTCTTTGGCGACCCCTCTGACACCCCCTCGCGACCCCCACAAGGGTCCCGACCCCCAGGTTGAGAAACACTCCTAGAACATGGCCATATAACCCGAAAAACCTACAACAACCCAGTGATTCCAGCCATGAAAGCCTTCGACAATACAATTGCCTAATAGTTTATCAATAATACAAATTGATATTGAACACTGCTCTGCGCCTCACCAAAAAGTTAGTTTTAAATAGCTGTAACAGTCTCCAAGAAGGGGCAGCTTGATCCAGCATAGAACTGCAAAAGAACAGATTTAAAGAGTTGTTTTGATAAGACTGTGTAGCAAAGGGTGATGTAGTGGGGAGTAAAATGGTTGACACAGCAAAGTGATAAATCTTCTCATAGGCAATGAGAAACTAGCATTGACATAATGGGTTTCAACGCGCATGCTCCAGCAATAAAGATGACATAATGGCTTTATGGCGCATGCTCGCAGAAAGGGAAAAGTTTCTCTGGGAAACAAAAGTTAAGATTGTCTATATAAACAGAAGCTGGACCAAGGAGTGTGAGGCGCTTCCATTGTTTGTAAGCTCACCGTGCATTAATCCACTCAAATAAACTCACTAAACAGAGATTTTAGGACTTGGATACTAGAGATAATCAGCTGTCTGGCAGATGGGAAACCGATCTGGGTAATTTCAGTGAGAACATAGAGGTGGTACCGAATAAAGACCTTCCTAGTTCAACATTCTGTCCCCTTCATTGATTCATTTACAAAAGAGGAAGGTATTCTTAAATTTGATTTCACAGTTCATTTAACAGCAGAGCACATTATATATGTGGCACATGGCTAATCCAAAACATCCCTGACTTAATATGTCCTCCTCATGTAATCACTGGGTAGGTATTCGAACCTTAAAGGGAAGCTAATACAGCAGAGTCTCGCTTATCCAACCTTCGCTCATCCAACTTTCTGTATTATCCGGCGCAGTCTGCCTCTTGCCCAGATCCACAGCTGTTTCAATACATTGTGATGTTTTGGTGCTATGTTCGTAAATACTACATAACGTTACCGTGTATTGAACTGCTTTTTCTGTCAATTTGTTGTAAAACATCCTGTTTTTGTGCTTAATTTGCAAAATCATAACGTAATTTGACATTGAATAGGCTTTTCCTTAATCCCACCTTATTAGCCAACATTTTTCTTATTCAACATTCCGCAAACCCATTTATGTTGGATAAGTGAGACTCTACAGTACAGTCAGATTTATTTATTTACTCAGGGATGTCTGAATTGTCCTTACAATACAATAATATTTGCCCAAGAATGCATTAAAAGGAATAAGAGAGAAACCTGGCATTCAGATCTACTTTGCATTGAAGATTTTCTTACACTCAACATGACAACCTCAACGACTGTAGGAAAACCCACAAATGTTTATGTTGTTACCATGGATAAAGTTAATATTTTCTGTTTTATTGGGTCTTAGGTAAATAAGGAAGTCATTATTCTCTGTCATCCTCAAGATGGCTTATAAAATTATATGAGTCCAACAACAGTACTGCACAGCATTAAAACGTTTTAAAGCCTTAAAGCATACAAATGTTTTGATATACTGATTGAAGGAGAGGAAGGATAAGGCCATCCTGATCTCTCTAGGGAGGGAGTCCCAAAGTCTGGGAGCAGCCACCAAGAAGGCCTTCTCACATGCTTTCACCAAGTGAGCCTGAGAAGTTGGTGAAAGGTCTCTCCAAAAGATTTTGTAGCTCTGATAGGCTCATAAAACTCATAGAGTCCAAAGGCCCAAAAGGGTCCCACCCATGTCTTTCCCAGCCATGTTCAGTAAACTTCTGTCCCCAGCATCTTCAGAAATTCCTGGTGTGAGGCTATTCATCTAATTTGGTAGAGCCAGCCATTTTCCTACACTTTATTAGAAAAAGACATCCTAATCCCACAGCTGTCTTCATTTATTCAAATGATTTTTAAAATCACATTATTTATCCATTTTTAATTTCCAGATGTCAAAGATGGAGGCCAGTTTGACGTTGAGGATCAGGTAGATGGAAAACTACAAGGAGAACTTTCTGGACGCGATATAGTTCCCATAGAAGCAAAGTCCAATTATAGTACATCCCATGTGATGTCTGTGAAGATGAAAAAGATACAGTTATGTCCCACTATCCTCAATTCTGTGAAAAAGTTGTAAGTATATTGATCTTGTGCACGGTTCAAACTCAGAAGCACATGATACCTTGTGCTGATGTGTAATGTTTCTACTCAGCTATGATTTAATTCCGAAATCCAGTAGAACTGATTTCCAGTACCAAAGGTTTTCTTCTAATTCTTTCTAATATTAGTGTAAATGTATCTGAGAAAGTAACTTAAAAGCCCTACGCAATAATGTAGAACAAATCACAGTTTTATTAAGAAAATAAAACAAACAGAAATACAGTGGAACCTTTACTTACGAGCATCCCAACGAACAGGCTTTTCAATCTATGAGCCTTCATTCATCCTGAGTTTTGTTTTTACATACAAGTAAGGTTTTGATGTATGTGCTAGGCAGAGGGAGCACTCACACAAGAGTGGGCAACGGACTACCAGTGGGCCATGAGGACAAAAATCTGGTCCACGAGCCTCCTTTCTCTTTATTTATTTATTTATTTATTTATTTTATTCCCATTCCTTTTGTGTTGCCTGCCACTCCTTCCCTATCGCAGACCAGCCCCGCCCCCTTGGATAGACCACATCAGCTCTAGATTATTAAATTTGGTTTTCGGTGGGCGAGCAGATAATGACTACTGGATGGCATATGTTCTGTATCAGAAACTAGAGCAGATGTTGACTACTCAATACAATTCTCTGAATCAACACCCCAAATAACCAAACTGAATCTAAAGTTGACCAAAAACTGATTCGTAACCCTTATGGTACTAATATTGGAGAGCGATCCCTGGTCAAAGTGGTCCCTGGTCAAAAAAAAAAAGGTTGGGAACCACTGGCTTAGAAGAACTTGGATTACAGGTACTGCACTTGATTTTGTGTGGTTTTTATTCCGGCTTCATGGAGAGAGAGATGGAAAAGCAAGAGAAGGGAGGATTTAACCATTCCAAAGTTGATCTTTCTTTGTTTCCTGTTGCGTGTGAATGTTCTGGTTTTTCCTTTGTCTCACACTGGCCAACACACATTTTAAAGTAGATTTTTCTGTTTACTCTTGCATATCAATGTTTTGGTTTTGCCTTGCTCTTACACTGGTCAATATATATTCTGTTGCCTCAAATGTGCCTCCTTGCAACAGCGGCTGGATGGAACCAAGCACTGACTATTTTTGAACATTTTTCCCTTACCAATTTTCATAATAGATAGTTTAATGCCAGGGTCCTCAAATTAAGGCTCGGGGGCCGGATACAGCCCTCCAAGGCCATTTACCCGGCCCTCGCTCAGAGTCAATCTAAGTTTGAAACCACTTGAAAGCACACAACAAGAACAACCAGCCAAAAGCACTTCCCATTGAAATACTAATAAGTTTATATTTGTTAAAATTGTTCTTTGTTTTAATTATTGTATTTGTAAGTGTTTTTCTTTTTTTGCATTAAAATTAAGGTATATTCAAATTATAGTCTAGCCCTCCAACAGTTTGAAGTACTATGACCTGGCCCTCTTTTTAAAAAGTTTGAGGACCCCTGGTTTAATGTTTTGAATGTTATCTGACAATTTAAATGAAGTTTAGTGTTTTTAACATCTGGAATAAAAGTCTGCTTTGCGTAAGTGAATCCTTTTATTGATGGGATTCATTATGTGTATTTAAAAACACGTAAAAAAATGTGGAGGAATTTTCGGGGTGCCGGAACAAATTAATTGCATTTCAATGGGAAAATTTGCTTTGAGATAAGAGGATTTTGAGTTAAGAGCTCAGTCATGGAACAAATTAAACTCTTAAAACAAGGTATCACAATATATTTGTGATATATACTAGAATCCAAATCATTGATGGTCAAGAACTCCATTCAGTAACACCTGGCAAATGGTGGGTCTCTTACCCACCATTAGCTTTTATGTAACCATTGTTCTGTGCAATCTGTGCTGTTACTTATATTTTGGATGATGGATGTCTGTGTTTTCTGCTTCAGAAAAATTGACATGGATCATGAGTTCATTAAACAATCAAAGAAGCATAACTACAACCTGTACATTGTGACTGAGGCAATAGAGGCTGTGGAAGATGCACAGTTTAAGGTGTCCAGCCAAATGGAAGGCAGCATCTTTTATGAAGCCTATCTCAAAATGGGGCTGAAGGTCAGAGCTGAATTGCTTGCTATCGTTCACAATTTTCAAGGAAAGCAACCTAGTGTCTCCTTTCACATTACTTGCAGTTGATGCAGGGTGGATTTTTCTCTCTTCTAGGGTACCAGCAATAGTAAGAAGACAATTCATATCCCAAAATCTTGCATCCTGGCATTCAGAGCCAAGAAACTACAAGTAGGAAAGGAATCATTAGGTAATAGATATGTTGATTTACAATCTGATCCTTAACAGAAGGAGAGTTTTCCGTCCTCTCTTTCCTTTTATGTTAATCCTTAGCATGGTAAGAACTTGGAATAAATTCATTGCAAATAACTTTTGAGGGGACATTAGGGCATGACAGTTTTCTTTTGGCAAATGCTTATTATTATTATTGTTATTATTATTATTATTATTATTACAGCTTTTATATTCCGCCCTTCTCACCCTGCAGGGGACTCAGGGTGGATTACAGTGTACACATATATGGCAAACATTCAATGCCAATTTTGACATACAACATATACAGGCATAAACAGAGGCTATTTAACTTTTTCTGACTGCCAGGGGAGCTGTCGCTTTCATCGTCCATCTGCGACACTGATGAAGTACTTCCGCATTCCCTGCATGTTTTTTGCTGGAGTGCTTGCTGGAGTCTTTTTTTTATGGCCTCATAAATTAGTTAATTTAGCCTCCCCACACTTTAAGGTGGTACCTAATTTTCCTACTTGACAGATGGAACTGTCTTTCGGGTTGCAATGGTCGACAACAGGCTACACAATTGGTTGGAAACTCACTCCAACCCGGGCTGGCTTCAAACTCATGACCTTTTGGTCAGAGTGATCTTAATGCAGCTGACACTCAGCCAGCTGCGCCACAATCCTGGTGCGATTATCCTGTCTATGTGACAAGAAGCATTTGGTTCATTGCAATGCCCATTGGGGGTGGCAAACATTGCTGCTTACTTTACTTACATATATGAGAGAACTAGTAAAGCATTGCTGTAGGTATTTCTCAAAAACAAGATTCTCATGGGAGTCCCAGGACAAAGTCAGGAACATAGTTAGATGTCACCTAATTAGAGAATCAAGGGGAGGTATAAAAAAGTCGACAGGTCCTTGGAATAGAAGGGTAGTTTGCAATAGGAAATGATTTCCCAAAATCCCAAAAGCCACCTGTTTTTACTGTCTGATCTGGAGGAGTTCCTTACATCTAACAATATCTAACAATATTGCTGATTTTTCTCCCAAGACCTTGGAATTTGTTACAAAATAGGCAGGTAGAGCTATTGGCATCCATTGCCCTGTATCAATAAAACAATAAAATGATTAATAAAATGCTTGATCATATTAAAATATCTAACCATGCTGTCTATGCAGAAGTTAATCAATTTGAGTTCAGTTGTATTTGCTTCTGGTCCCACATAACAGCTTAATAGGTTAAAAACTTTTGGATGATACTCCTGCCCTGGTGTCATTTCCAAATTAAGAAATGTATGTACTCAAATGTTAATTTTCAAAACTCATATTAATTACAGTTACAAAAATTGTTTTGGTTTTTCTCAGGTATTTCCTACTATAAAGATGATAAATCAGAAACTTGGTTTTCCTCAGATGTGCCGTTCTATGCAGGTGGCAAAAAACGTAAGCAAAGTTTAGCAAATTTGTTTAATATTCAGTATTTTATTTCTCAAAATCATTCACACATTAATAGAGGTGGTTTCATAGTGCAAGCATTCTTCCAAAAGCATCTCAGAGAGACAAATATCATGTTTTCATCTGATTCTTTTAACCAGTATTATAGACATTTGCCCGAGCCAAAAGGCATTTCAAATTTTTCAATGATTTAATAAAATGAGAAGGTGGGAAGGCCATATACATAGTAGATCCATTTGTCATTTTAGTCTGAATTGAAAGTACTAAATTCAATCTCAGGAGATCATATGTGGTATCTTAAAGCTAATTTGGTCTGGTTCTAGGTAATTAAAAAAAGAAGCCACCATTTAAAATTTACCTAGAAGCATAATGGTATTTAATTTCAGTCTTTAACACATAAGAACATGATGACTTGGGATACCTTTCATCAATATTGTCATTGTATTGTTGAAGGCTTTCATGGCCAGAATCACTGGGTTGTTGTAGGTTTTTTCGGGCTATATGGCCATGTTCTAGAGGCATTCTCTCCTGACGTTTTGCCTGCATCTATGGCAAGCATCCTCAGAGTAGTGAGGACCTCACTACCTCTGAGGATGCTTGCCATAGATGCAAGTGAAACATCAGGAGAGAATGCCTCTAGAACATGGCTATATAGCCTGAAAAAAACTACAACAACCCAATATTGTCACTGCTGTATTCTAAACCTGTTGATACTTCTTGCACACTCTTCCTAGTCAAGATCCACAGCTACCTGATATCTTATCACACTATGCTGTTAATAGCTCTATATTCCATGTTAACTACCTAAAGCTCAGTGCATGGAATGTGGACCAATGGTAGAGGATTTCTCCATCAAGATCAATGGCACTGACATCAACAAAGTGACCAGCTTTAAATACCTCAACTCAAAGATCACCTCCACTGGCAATGTACTGTCAGATGCTCACGGGCATGTAAATGCCACATGAATGGAGAGCAACGATAGGTGTAATGTGTGATAAGAAGATCCTAATCCACCTAAAATTGAAAATATACAGGACGGTGGTGATACCAGTAACTCTATATGCCACTGAGTGCTGGCCGACCACTAAGGCCGTCAAGCAAACTGCACACTATGGAAATGTGGATGGTTAGGTGGTCAATGGGTGTTACCCTGAAGGACAGGATCAGGGGCGGCTCAACCTATTACGTAAAGGTAAGCATTTGCAGTATAGTTATTTTGCCCAGGGGCGCCCTTGAGGCGCTCTTGGGGGAAATAGACCTTGACATATGCGAGTTGTAGTTACTGGGATGTATAGTTCACCTACAATCAAAGAGCATTCTGAACTCCACCAATGATGGAATTGAACCAAATATGGCACACAGAACTCCCATGACGAACAGAAAATATATATCAGTGATTGGTTGGGGGGGGGGGCAAAATACTGTTTGCTTACCGTTGAAAATTACCTCGGGTCGCCTCTGCCAATACACAGAACAGAACCGTTGAAAATTACCTAGGGCCGCCTCTTGACAGGATTGCAAAATATACAGTGCGCTCCATCTTTGGAGTTGCTCCAGTCACCAAGATGATGAAGGAATTCCATCTGAGATGGTTTGGACATGTGCAACAAAGTGACAAGGGTTCCATGGCTAAACCCACACTGAATATGGAAGTTGCAGGTGCCACAAACCACTCGGCAAACCTAAAATGCGCTGACTTAGTTGTTTGAAATGTGACATGACGGAAGCAAGACTCGCAATGAGAGACACGACCGATAGAAACAAATGGAGAACGCAAAGCAAACACGCGAACCCAGCACATTTGGGGGACAAACACTTAGGAGAAGGAGAAGGAGAAGAAGGAGAAGGAGAAGGAGGAGAAGGAGGAGAAGGAGAAGAAGAAGAAGAAGAAGAAGAATCCATTTTAATTACCAGGGAATTCTTCCAAGGGAAATAAGACAGGCCCCATCCCTCCCCTCCTTTTGTAAGAGCTTGAAGACCTGTTGGTTTCAACAAGCCTTTGAAAATGGCCAGTTCTAACTCAGCTCTACACATTGTTGAATACGGCCTTATTCTTCCTACCAATTACCCAGATTCTTTCCTCTAATCGGCCCCGGAGTGAACAGCCACAGACCCGTACCTAATATTCTTGCTGCCTGCCATAGCATTGCACTTAATTCTCGGGCCCCCTAGAATTTTTGGGCTTGCACAAATCTTGGCCCGGCCTTTTACATTTTTAAATTGCCTTGAACAGGCAGGATTACTTCTAATATATGTGTGTTATGGCGACAATTTTTATGTTTATATTTTGTTTTGTTAATCTTACGGTTATGTTGTTTTTACTTTGTATGTTTTGTGATGTTACCCGGGAATTGCTCTGAGTCCCCTCGGGGAGATGGAGCGGTATATAAATAAATTATTATTATTATTATTATTATTATTATTATTATTATTATTATTCTGGGATGTGCAGTTTACAGAGAGGAGCTGTGAAGTCTTATCCAGGGAGTTCTTGGGCCTCACTAAGCTATGAAACCCAGGATCGTATCAGGGCACTAGAGCAGTCCAGTTTGATAAAGGAATAACTTAGATGTCACCACAATATGGATAACGATAGAACAGTCAAATTCCTTTCTGTCGAAACTTCTCGATGAAAGGTGCTTACAAGATACACCAGATGGCTCTCCCTGCCTTTTGTCTAATGGGAACGTGTGAATGGAACTCCTCCAGACAGGTCTATGCTAAGCATGCTCACATGCCCAGTGGGGAGGGGGCAGAGGCGACAAGAGACCCTGCTGCAGATTACCTTGAAGAGGCAGGGCTTCCCACTTGGTAGGGCTTAGAGTGAAAGCTGTTAGAGGGGACTCTGCCAGGTTGGCAATATAGTGGCTCCCACAGGAGACAATTCATTTGCCACAGTAATGAGCAGAAGCAGGAGTCTATCCATTTTTCTCTGTCCCTCTCCTCAAAACCCCATCATCACATCAACACAACTCACTGTTCTCTTTTTCTCTCTAGCTACAAAGTCTATAGTCTGCGATGGCAAAATTGGCAGGCCTTTTCCCCAAGGTAAGTGATGGTGAGGTGGAAGAGAGAAGGGACATGAGTGCATGAATGTGTAGGGGGAAGTTTTCACCTCACATTACATGTTCAGTTGGGGAGGTGACCCGCAACAGTCATAGTGCCACCGCATTTACAGAGCCGCTCTTTTGCTGGGGAAGGAAATAAAGCTTAGATGTTGTAGATGTTGCACCGGGACTGTGGCGCAGCTGGGTGGGTATCAGCTGCATTAAAGATCACTACATGAGTTCGAAGCCAACCCGAGTTGGAGTAAGCTTCCAGCCAATTGTGTAGCTTGTTGTCAACCTTTGCAACCCGAAAGACAGTTGCATCTGTCAAGTAGGAAATTTAGGTACCACCTATGTGTGGGGAGACTAACTAAACAAAACTTACGAGGCCATAAAAAGTCTCCAGCAAAAGCATGCGGGGAATGCGGAAAGTACTTCATCAGTGTCGCAGATGGATGGTGAAGTAACAGCTCCCCTGGTGGCCAGAAGTTGGAATGTTAAATAGCCTCTGACTGTTTGTCTATATGTGTTGTGTGTCTATGGCATTGAATGTTTGTCATGTATGTGTACATTGTAATCCGCCCTGAGTCCCCTGTGGGGTGAGAAGGGCAGAATATAAATACTGTAAATAAAATAAATAAATAGTATAGTACAGCCTCCATAGTCATTTAAGATGAAGATGGGATGGTTTTTAAAACAAAGTAGGGGGGGTCTGTTCTTTGGACATTTTTTTGTACTCCAAAAGTACACAACTAAAAACATCATAGCTGCACTAGGTGGTCTTTGGGCTCCACTAAAATTCAGTAGGATCTATTCACATTCTGTTTTAATTCCGATTATATGAAATATCTGACTCTGTTTTTCTTATTATACTTATTTTTTCCATAGTAATTTCAATGCCAGAGGAAGAAATTAGCACATGTAAGTAGAGTTCATGTTTCAGAATTTGGAGTTTAATGCAAGCTCTGAAGTGAGTCAGTTGAAGACCACTGTTTTAACAGAGTCCATTATCTGCCTTGTAATTGAACATATTGACACAATGCAATAACATTTTAATAAATATGGGGATTCTAAAATAATACATATTTCTGGAGGGTGGGATTTTTTAAAACCCTCAGGGGAAAGTAAAGGCATACATATTTCTATCACTTCTGTGAATGATCTTCTAGTTTGATACTCAAGTCAGAAAATAATTTAATATCCCTAGCAAATGGCATCAAATCTTTGTATTGATAGCCATATGCCAAGAAGAGACAGGGCATGTGATTTAAAACATTTTGAAGCACCCATGTGTTTCAAAATGAATTCATTAGGAATTTGAGTCACCAGCATAGCAGATTGCTGCCATAGGAGTGGACTTGTCCATGTCTGTCAAGGGGAATGATGTCAGTTAGACACAGGATAGCGAAGGAGGTATCTTTGGGCACAGTAGTCTCTGAAGATGCCCTATCTTAAAAGTCTTCTAAATCAAATATTAATTTATCTCAATACAATAAATTAGTCACACCTTTACTTCTGAAGAGGTTATGGATTTCAAAACTCTGTCCTATTTTAAAAGATCTGGAATGTAATTTTCTAGTGAGACACCTCTTTGTGCTTGTGCTCTGTGCTGAGAACATTTTTTCAATAATTTTAATTAAACTATTTTAAATATTTAACTAAAAATAAAGACATTAATGGGAAAAATAAAGGTGCAAGAGTGGGGGAGGTAGGGCTGTGTAAGGAAAGAATGGGAAGTAAAGGGGTAAAGTTTGTTGACTTCCGATCTCCTTCATGGTAGTTATGCTTTTCCATTTCAGTTCTTTCTTCTCTTCATACTTTGCTTCTCCTTTCTTCTAGCCTTTTTGGGATAATCTTTTTTCCTGGTTGGATTGTCTTAAATTCTTAAGCTTTTATTTTCCTGGATCATCTATATAAATAATCGTTTGTGGGATCAACAGAACTCAAAAACCACTGGGGGGGATTGACACCAAATTTGGACACAACACACCTAACAACCCAATGTATGTCCTTCACTCATAAAAACACTGAAAAACACAGCAGAAGGGACTTTAAAAGCCCCAAAATGATGAAAAGCTAAATGACAATACAGAAAAAAGGGAAGAAAGAGGGAGGGAAGGGGAGAAAGAAAGAAAAAAAAGAAAGGAGGGAAGAGAGGAAAGAAAGAAGGAAAGGGAGAAGGAAGCCTGGAAGCAAAGAGAAGGAAGGAAGGAAAGAGGTAGAGAAGGAAGAAAGGAGAGAAAGAGGGAGGGAAAGAAAAAAGGGGGAAGGAAAGTTAGAGAAGGAAGGAAGGAGAGAAGGAAAGAAAAAAGGGAAAGAAGGAAGGAAAGAGGGAGCGAAGGAAGGGGGAAGATGTAGAGAAAGAGGGAGGGAAGGAAAGAAGGAAAGAGAGAAGGAAGAAAAGGAGAGAAAGAGGGAGGCCTTCCCTATGGTCCAGCTCTCACATCCATAGGTGACTATGGGGAAGGAAGGAAGGAGGGAGGGAAGGGAGGGAGGGAGGGAGGAAGGAAGGAAGGAGGGGAGGGAGGGAGGAAGGAGGAAGGAAGGAGGGAAAGAAGGAGAGAAAGAGAAGGTTGGCCACAGCAACGCATGGCGGGTACAGCTAGTAGTCTTTAAAAGATTGCCAATCCTTAATTTTACTGTTCACTTTCCCCTCATGTCTTGTTATCAGTTGTGTTAGTTTATCCATAATATCTAGAATTTTCACAAGCCATTGATGGATTGAAGGTATTTCTTTTTCTCTCCAACTTCTCGCAAACACAATTCTTGCTACTATTGTCAAATAAGAGAACATTTTATGCTGGGTTTGCAAGGTGACATGAATACAATATTTTCAATGACATTAAGTAATACCAGTAATATCAAATACTTCGCTCTGGGGTACATTTTCCTGAAATGGTTTCATAGCATCTGATTCTGAGCTCTCAATTCTCTTTATCTGTGTCTACAGTGAGCATTAGACCTAGTGAGGAAAACATGTGGATGGAGGTTGAAATGCAATGTGCACACTTCTCATTCTTATCTACAAATCTGTGTGGTTTGTTTCTATCTGGCTTTGTGGCTGTAATGAGGAACAAGGACCTTCTACAAAAGCTAGTATTCCAGGTAAGGATACGCTTGTGGTGCCGAAGTGTTTCCTCATCATTTGTTTCCAGCGCATTGGCCCTCCCTTCACATATCCTTTGCCATATTGTCTTTGTGGGTCTCTCCCATTAGTGTCTTCTCAGCTCATTGTCATAATTAGAAAAATTCAAGATTAATCTCCGATTGCCATTATGAAACTTGAGCATTATTACTTGTTACACAGTCCAGATTACAATGGGGGCATCTTTGTAGTCCGTTCAGTACAGGCAGTCCCCATGTTAGGAACAAGATAGGTTCTGTAGGTTTGAATTTGTGTGTAAGTTGAAACAGATACATTTTTTAAAATGTAGCTCCAACCAAAAATACTGTATATACTCGAGAATAAGCCTAGTTTTTCAGTCCCCCTTTTAGGCTGAAAAAAATCCCCTTGGCTTATACTCAAGTCAAGGTTATTTATTATTTTATTCTGCTATTAGTATTACTTTTATTACATTTATTATTTTACTCTATTATTATTACATTTACATTATTTTACTGTATTATATTTATTGCATTTATTATTTTACTCTTATAGTTATTATTACATTTATTGGATCCCCCGGTGGCACAGTGGGTTAAACCCCTGTGCTGGCAGGACTGAAGACCAACAGGTCACAGGTTCGAATCCTGGGAGAGGTGGATGAGCTCCCTCTATCAGCTCCAGCTCCTCATGCGGGGACATGAGAGAAGCCTCCCACAAGGATGATAAACACATCAAATCATCCAGGCGTCCCCTGGGCAATGTTCTTGCAGACGGCCAATTCTCTCACACCAGGAGTCACTCCTGACACGACAAAAAAATTACATGTATTGCTTTATTATTACTATTGTTATTAAATTTCCATTATTTACTCTATTATTATTTTTATTACATGTTATTACATTTATTATTTTATTCTACATTATAGGTAATAGGTAAGCACATTTACATTGAAGGAGGTTAGAATAATGGTTGAATCCGAGTTGGGCAGTCTTATCTTAAATTACAGTTTTGTGTAAATACTCAAAAACATTTAACCTACTGACGATTACCAGTAGCAGCTACATTTCTCACCCTCGGCTTATACTCGAGTCAATATGTTTTCCCAGTTTTTTGTGGTAAAATTAGGTCCCTCGGCTTATATTTGGGTTGGCTTATACTTGAGTATATACGGTATATCTTTTAAAGCTTTGGACAAAACAGGGAAGGGTTAAGACTCCTGTGGAATTTGTTTTGTTCTCTGCTCCTATTCAGAAGATTTCACTTCAGTTTCTGTCCCAGTGATTATTGGATTTTGAAAAATGTGGCTTGTTGTGGAAACAAGGATTGGTGATAAAGCTTCAGTGGAGATACCTTTTCCCCATGATAACTCTTCCAAAAGTGAATTTCCCTTCCTAGGGGTAGATTTCTCTCCCGTCCTGTTGTCTTCTCTGTCCTTAATTATGAGCATTTCAGGAAAAAAATTAACTTGCAACCCCCTCCCCAACCCCCCCCCCCAAACATTTTTGCCTAAAACTGAACAATTTCATTTAGAAACCATTGTATTTTAACACAAAATGTTCAACACAGTTGTCTTTCATTAAGGCAACGGTGTTTTTCTTCATGCAAAGTCCAGTGAATGTAATTTTGGTAAAAAAAAAATGAAATCTCCAAATGTGAAGAATGGTTGCAAAATGTCCAAAAACGAGTACTACGGTTTTTATTAGCATTTTTTAAAAATGCTGCCTTTCCCCCAAACCTAACATTATAACATTATAATTTTATTACAATGCAGTCAGAGTCCTACCACATGCACAATGGAGGACCCCTTTATAGCAACACCAGAGGCACTCCAAGTGGCCAACTACTGGTCAAAGGGCATTTAATATAATGCAGTGGTTCTCAACCTTTCTGTGAACAATGGTCTCTTAAGAAGTGGTTCTCAACCTTCCTAACGCCGTGACCCCTTAATACAATTCCTCATGTTGTGGTGACCCCAACCCTAAAATTATTTTCGTTGCTCCTTCATAACTGGAATTTTGCTACTGTTACGAATCGTCATGTAAATATCTGATAGGCAGGATGTATTTTCATTCTCTGGATCTTGGGAGTTGGAATTGCTGGGATTTATAGTTCGCCTACAATCAAAGAGAATTCTGAACTCCACCAGAGATGGAATTGACCCAAACTTGGCACACAGAACGCCCATGACCAGCAAAAAATAATGAAAGGGTTAGGTGAGCGTTGGCCTTGAGTTTGGGAGTGGTAGTTCACCTATCTCCAGAAAGCACTGTGGGCTCAAACAATGATAGATCTGGACTAAACTTGGCATGAATACCCAATATGCTCTAATGTGAACACTGTTAGAGTTTGGGGGAAATAGACTTTGACATTTGGGGATTGTAGTTTCTGGGATTTATAGTTCACCTACAATCGGAGAGCATTCTGAATCCCACCAACGATAGAATTGGGCCAGACTTCCCACACAGAACTCCCATGATCAGCAGAAAATACTGTGTATCCTGATGGTCTTGGGCGACCCCCCCCCCGACACCCCATCGCGACCCCCCCCCCCAGGGTCCCGACTGATTTGTAGCTCTTGTTCTTGCATTGGTGGATGAAATATGTGCAGATTCCCTTCTCTGCACCACAGCAGCCATTGCTGCTCTTTCACAGAATAATAGTATTCCAAGGAAGCCCTTCACACATCCTTCAAGGGAATCTTATTGGCAGGAATGTTTTGGAATTATCCAATTTATAACCTTTCTGGCAGGAAAGTTAAAACTAGCCAGTGGCTGTCTATTTCATATTTCAGCAGTCCTCTCACATAAGGAATGATTTAAACAGCAGAACCGAACCAAATTCATCTTCAATATCACTCCCACTCCTCCATGCTCTTCATTCTAATATCATCACATAGCAACGCTTGCTTTCATTTGTGTGTCACTAAATCCCTGCATTTATCCCATGTAACTGGTTGGCATTAACATCTTTTTCTTTATATTATTAGCTGGAGGAGGCACTTGAAGCCCCCGGCCAATGCAAGCTGAAGGCTGACAACCCAGAATTGCAAGATCTGGTGGATAATTTACAAGATCGCAGTGGAGCTATCATCCCTGAACTTGCGGAGGCAGTTGTCTATTTTCTTGAAGCCTTAGATGGTAAGGATCACAACTTCCAAAATACAGTGACCATTTGAATGTATTTCAGTAAAGGACCTTTCAGCCCTGCTCATTCGGTTGTACTGGTGTTGATCTTGCAGGTAAGTGCTGGATTTCAAATCTCAAACTGCTTGAAATTTTCCACTGTACTCTTATTTAAAATAGATTTTTATTGTCCACAAAAGGAACATTTTATTGTTTTTACACAAAAAGTGGGGGAACATTAAATTAAAAGGAAAGTAGTAAAGGAGAAAGATAGATACAACATTAAAAGGACAAAAGAAAAAAAAGAGTTCCATTGACTTCCATTCTGGGCTTCTGTTTTTCTTACTCTATAAATTCATGTATAAAGAAAAATAAAAATCCCACTGTTAAATGCTGTCTTTTTGTTTTTTTCCCCCTTTCATATTCCTCAAAGGGATTCCAGTCCGTCCTTTTTATTAAACTTCCCAAGTTATTCTTTAAAAAAAAAGTTTATTTGTCCATGTCTCCGGTTTCTCTTAATTTACTTATCCAATTATCAATGTCTGGTATCTTATCCATTTTTCAAAGTTTCACATAGGAATTCTCGCTGCCCTAGACATATAAGTAAATAAAAGGTCCTTATTTTGGTCCAGGATTAGCTCTGAGTTTGTGAGGCTTAGTAAGTAATATTCTAGTTTTCTTGGAAACCTGGTTTTTTGGGCCTCTCTACAAGACTACCACATGTGGAAAAAACTCCCATCATGGTCGTGACATTTCCAGCAGTTTCCCCCCCACATTTTTGTACATAAGGCCAAGTTTCTTAGGGGTGATATACCACTGTACTATTGAAGGGAATCTAGATATATTTAATGATAAGGCATATATTTAATGATAAGGCATTCTGACTGTGAGAGCCGTTCAGCAGTGGAACTCTCTGCCCCGGAGTGTGGTGGAGGCTCCTTCTATGGAAGCTTTTAAACAGGGGCTGGATGGCCATCTGTCAGGGGCGATTTGAATGCAATATTCCTGCTTCTTGGCAGGGGGTTGGACTGGATGGCCCATGAGGTCTCTTCCAACTCTTTGATTCTATGATTCTATGATTTTATGTAAGTAACCCAAGTCACATTTTCCTAGAGTTTCTCACAGATTTGCCCAATCTCTCCCAGTTACTACTGCAAGAGGTCAACAACTCAGTGAAAAAGAACACTGGATAATGCCTTCTCTTCGTTTGCATGTCCCAGCATGCCAGAGCAAACTATGGCTCTTTCTTCTCTTACTGCTAATAAGAATAATCTTGCCAGCTTCCTGCTTCAGTCATTCTGTGCTAGTATGGTACGCTTCCCTTGCATTGATTGTTTTGCTCTCTTTCTCAGAACTGCAAGAAGAACAATTGATGCTCTTGGAAGAATCTATGGGGAAAAAGATTGTGTCCAGGCAGCTGGAACTGGTAAGTGAGGACTCTGATCAAACATTCCCCGTATGTTTCGCCAGATATGTTCCATAGGATGCAGCCATGCCGATTAAAGTAGAATTATGGTTCTATATCTGTGTGGTCCTTCACCTTGTTGATGGGAAGCTTCCCACCGAAGTGGAAATCCTCTATTGGACAGATGGCAAGCTGTTTAACCTCAGCAGACTGAAAGTCAAAATCAAGGTTACAACAACATTTGTTATAGAACTCCAGTATGCTGATGACAACGTCTTCTGTGTGCATTCAGAAGAAGATCTACAAGCCACTCTAAACACCTTTGCAGAAGCATACGAGAAGCCCGGCCTGTCATTGAACACTGAAAAAACCAAAGTGCTCTTCGCGCAGTCACCAGCCAACCCCTTTCCAATGCCAGAGATACAGCTTAATGGTGTAACATTAGAAAATGTCGATCATTTCCACTACCTTGGCAGCCACCTCTCCACCAAAGTCAACATCGACACCAAACTACAACACCGCCTGAGTTCTGCGAGCGCAGTATTTTTCTGAATGAAGCAGAGTGTTTGAGGACTGGGACATCCGTAGGGATATCAAGGTGCTTGTTTATAAAGCTATTGTCCTCCCAACCCAGCTATATGCCTGCAAAACATGGACTGTCTACAGACGTCACATGCAACTCCTGGAACGATTCCATCAGCACTGCCTCTGGAAAATCCTGCAAATCTCTTGGGAAGACAAGCTGGACAAATGTCAGCGTGCTGGAAGAAGCAAAGACCACCAGCATTGAAGCGATGGACCTCCGCCATCAACTCCGCTGGACTGGCCACCGTCTCCCAAAGCAGTTGCTCTACTCCGAACTCAAGAACGGAAAATGAAATGTTGGTGGACAGGAAAAAAGATTTAAAGATGGGCTCAGAGCCAACCCCAAAAACTCTGGCATAGACACTGAGAACTGGGAAGCCCTGGCCCTTGAGCGCTCCAGCTGGAGGTCAGCTGTGACCAGCAGTTCTGCAGAATTTGAAGAGGCACGAATGGAGGGTGAAAGAGAGAAACGTGCCAAGAGGAAGGCGTGTCAAGCCAACCCCGACCGGGACCGCCTTCCACCTGGAAACCAATGCCCTCACTATGGAAGAAGATGTAGATCAAGAACAGGGCTCCACAGCCACCTAGACTCACAAGAATTCTGATCCTGGAAGACTATCCTACTCGGCCAATGAGGGATCGCCTAAGTAAGTAAGTAAGTAAGTATCTGTGTGGTGCGAGAGGGCATCAGATCATATGAGCCTTCTGCATATATCTGTGCCATGGTCTGTGACTGTAATAAAGAAGTATCATATACCTGTGCCTTTGTAAAATATCATATGATTGCTAGTATGGCTGTGCATAGATCTGTTTTTCAAAATGGGCTCCGGCTGTTTCGGCTCATTCAGCTGGCCGTAACGGCATGGGCACCCCGGCTGAAATAGATTATGCAGCTGCCAAAAATGGCTGCTTCCTGTTTCTACATGTGGAGCACTGACAGGCAGCCACATGCCCACACGGGTGTCCCTGTGAGGCTGTGAACCCTGCTGCCTGCCTTAGCCAATCAGAAGAAGAAAGCCATTCACATGCTCCTTTGCTGCTCTTAGGGCCACTTTGCTTGCTTTTGGGCTCAATTCCAATCTTTTTCTTTGGCAATTTCATTTATTTTTCTTAGTTCAATATTTTTCATTCTTTCCTCTTTTACTATTTCACTAGGGAAAAGAGGGTAAGTTTGCATTTGGGAGTGTTTGTTTAAATTTTGGAGTTTTTTACTAAAGGGAGGGACTAGCTGACTCCCTTGAGTTCCCACAGGGAGAATTTAATTTCTCCCCCAGGTCTAGTTAAAGGATATTGGAGGAAAGTACCCAAGAAATAGTGATTCCTTAACTCTAATGCCTTAACCCAGGTCAAGTTGAAAGATATTAGGGGAAACAACCCCAGATCCTTCGATTCTCTCTCTCATATTTTTCTACTGGCTTCTGTGCATGTGCACTCCTTCTCTCACACAAGAAGCCTATCCCACCCCCCCACCCCCCGTTTGTGTGTGGGGGGGTGCCATTTTCATCCCGATAGCCCTAAAAATGACGGAAAAGAAGTTCCCCCATTGCCACCAATGGGCCGGATCTTCCCACTGCGAAAACCTATTAAAAAATGGCGTTTTGCCCTCCCAAATTTGGGAAGTTCTCAAAAAATGGAACGGAGGCCAGGGTCACTGAAATCAGGATATCAAAAATAGCAATAGATTTACACAAATTCCACACCCCTAATTGACAGCTTCTCAGCATGAGTAAGATCTTGGCACTTGCAGAGCTAACTATAGCAAAGAGTTCTATAATCAGATTGTGATCCATGGCAGTACGCTATAGTTTTTCCAGAGAATAAGAATGGTGGGTTGTTTTTGTTTTTTGGGGTTTTTTACAATGAATACTTTGACTTGTGTGCTTTGATTCCATCTGAACACGAGGAAGAACTTCCTGACTGTGAGAGCCGTTCAGCAGTGGAACTCTCTGCCCCGGAGTGTGGTGGAGGCTCCTTCTTTGGAAGCTTTTAAACAGAGGCTGGATGGTGATCTGTCAGGGGTGATTTGAATGCAATATTCCTGCTTCTTGGCAGGGGGTTGGACTGAATGGCCCATGAGGTCTCTTCCAACTCTTTGATTCTATGATTCTATGATTTCGTTTCTTTTATATTTCCAAAGGTCAAGATCATTTTAGGCAATATTCTAAGCAACGACGAAATGAAATTTACTGCAGATGCCCAGCTGTTACCTAAAGATGAGATTATTATAACGGGAGCAATGATTGAAATGAGTGGAGTGACCATTCAGAAAACTGAAGCTCATCTTTCTGGAACAGGAGAACCTGAAGCTTTGATCCCCTTGTATGTGGTTCTTTATGTGCTCAATCTTCTAACTAAGTAAGAAGGCAAGTGAATTCATCATATCTGAATGACTAAGGCTGTACACATTTATCTGGGAAAGTCAATTTTTTTTCCAAGCTTGGGAAAAAAATCTTTTGGGCTGCAACTTCCACAATCATAGGTTGAGCAAATTGCAGTTCAGAAAAGTAACTTTTTTCAGTCTTTCCTCAGTGGGGCTTGGTTCTGAACAAAACATGTATAGGGTTGTATTGTAGTGCATACAGGTATATGCAACCTTACTCTCTAACCTTATTTGCACTTTATAGCCTATTTTCAGTCATATTTCTGGTCTTCTAAAATTTGGTTTTCCAAATCGATATATAGGTTGAGCATACTATTATCCAAAATAATTCAAAATTGTCTGTTTGGGTCTCTATGATAGTTACATATTCAAGCACAAAATTATTAAAGTACTGTATAATTTTTTCTTCAGGCTATGTGTATAAGATGTTTATCTTATATGCATGTTTAGACATCGGCACCATCTCCAATCTATTTTATTATGGTACATATATCCTGCAACCAATAGTCCAGAATCTGGGGGGGGGGGGGGGGGGGGGGGGGAATCCAAAATATTTATCTCAGCATTTTGAATAAGGTATATTCAACCTGAATCTATATCTCACCTGTTACAAACATATCAAACACTTCCAAGGGATTGGACACTAAGACACTGTATAAAGGAACTTTAATACTGCAATTAATGAGGTTATTTGATAAATTAACTTATGTCTTATAGTCACATCTAACAACTATGCTGAGCTTTTTCATTCCAGTACCCTGCATTTTTCATTTGTTGAACCTGTCTTATTATTTTTCTATCTGCTTCTTAAATGCATAAATGTCATGTGTCATATTTGTTTAGCATTTATCTAAAACTTGCTTTGCAAGTATTGGAGGTTTCATTTTACAAGGTTTTTAGCCTTCCCTGCCAAAGAGTGCTAGTTCCTTGTCAAACTGCATCTCCCAGTATCCCATAGTTTTCAGCCACGGCAGTTCAAGTAGTACCAAACTGCATTCATTCTACAGTGTAGATGCACCATGTTTCATCTGCAAAACATTAGAGGGCATGTGATATTTAATCTATCAGTCTGGGACAATGCTCACTATAGCTTTTATCATCCTGAAAAGATGGCAGATTTGTCCTTCATGACTGCTCTCATTTGAAATGTCCTGAAATGATATTAGGGAGACTGCAGGCAGCTTTGACAGGAGCTCCTAATATGTTTTCAAAGGCACCAGATAGTCTGGTGTCATTCCTATGGGAACTGGAATGCAAAATGGAAGCATCATCTGAAGAAACAAAGGTTTTTCTCCCATTTGAAAAGCTATACTGCATGTAATGGTTATTTTTATTGACATGGTAATTATAATTCATCCTATGTTTCCCCTACCCTGCTAAACGAAACCGATATGGCACAGCTATATCTAAACTAGCCTATGTTCCACCCTAATTATGCCAGCCTAATGGAGTGAAGCATTTGTAGTGGGTGACAGGCTAGAGACCCCAACCTATGGCAAACTACCATCCAGGAGGTTACCAATGTGTAGGACTTGGGTACCTTAGTATGCCCGTGCAAGAAGCCTACACTCCCATCTGCAAACGACGATCTGCCCGACTGCTATCAACAGATACCCTTGGTCCAAAATGTTCAAAGAAGGTAATATTACATTCACAATTGTCTGAAACAGAACTTTACAGAGAAGGAGGGGGCCTGATCATGGAAGTTCTCACCCTAGGGAAAACCCGGGGATCATAGCCCAAGACAACCGTAAGAGCATCATAGGGCCCACCTGTCTCCTAGAAAAGACTATCAGTGCTACGGGAAAGATCATTTGGGCCATGCAGGCAGAGATAGGAGATTTGAGTCAAATGGTTATGCAAAATCGCCTGGCCCTAGATTATCTATTGGCAGCCCAGAGAGGGTTCTATAAAATGATCAGGATACAATGTGTGGTGAGCTTCCATGATTTGAACAAAACCACTGAAGATGAATTGGCAAAGTTACAATAAATGATACAACAACACAACACTGCAGGGGTTGATTTTCTTTTACTGGCTTACTAGCTGGCTACCTGCCATCCATTGGGTTAAAGGTTTGTTTATCATGTTTTGCTTTCTAGGGCTGATTTTGGTTCTCTTCATCTGTTGCGTGCCTATACTTTTGTACTTGTTTAAGAATTGTATTACACAGCTCATTTTCCAGGAACAAGAAAAGAAAGCTTTGTTAGCAAATCTGCAATAAATAAAGGGTGATGTGGCTTTCCTTTCTCTGAAGGTCAGGGCCTCCATGGGGGGATTGAAAGGGTACGTTTCTGCCTAGCTTTTCAGTAAACCAGTAAGTTGCACAGGCTCTGTGTTATCCTTGAGCCACTTGATCCTGGACTACTCGATTCTGGATGACCCAAAGAAATGTAATGGTTAGAATGATTAAAGGATAACACAGTCTTCTGGAGTGGAAAAAAAGCAGATTTATTTAGCTGGGCTTCCCCAAGTAGGGTAACTCTTTCAGTCTCAGGTGCTCAAAATCTTAAGTTGTTGTTGTTGTTGTTCATTCGTTCAGTCGTCTCCGACTCTTCGTGACCTCATGGACCAGCCCACGCCAGAGCTCCCTGTCGGCCGTCACCACCCCCAGCTCCTTCAAGGTCAGTCCAGTCACTTCAAGGATGCCATCTTAAGTTAAATCTTAAGTTACAATGGGTTATATAGTTAGCATGTGTACAAACATTCCATTGTCATTTGGGGTTTTTTTGTGTGTGTTTGTGTGTGTCAGGAGCAACTTGAGAAACCGCAAGTAGCTTCTGGTGTGAGAAAATTGGCCATCTGCAAGGACGTTGCCCAGGGGATGCCTGGGTGTTTTGATGTTTTACCATGTCCCCACATGGAAAGCTAGAGCTGACAGGGGGAGCTCATCCGTGCTCTCCCTGGATTCGAACCTCCAACCTGTCGGTCTTCAGTCTTGCCAGCACAAGGGTTTAACCCACTGCGCCGCCAGAGGCTCCTGGTCATTTGGTAAAATATTGTCTATTAGCTATCTCCAAGTCTCCTGATGAGGCCACACACCCTGAAGCACTTTTACTGAGCCTGTGCAACCTATTGGCTTACAGAAATGCTAAGCAGAAACATACCTTGTCAATACAAGTTCATGTAGTGTCCGAGAAAGTATAGCCTATACACATTTCTCTTTAGGAATGAAAATAAGTAGTAGTAAAATAATGTGTTGTCTTTGCACAGGACCTCAGATTGCATTCCTTATTCATCCCTTACCATTTGCATTATTACTTGCTCTGATAGAAATTATATCTCCTGATGATGCTGGCCATCATGATCATCCATCCTAAATGGCCACTGGGAATTACGGTTTGTTTTGTTCTCAGGTAGAACCATTCAGTCTCAATAATACTGGATGGATGGGTAGATAGTAATTGTCACATGCTTGTTTTACCATGTACAAGTCCTGCATGTATGACATACTTCTCTTTTCAGTATCCTGATTGCTTTAAAATTACATCATTCCTGTATTTCTAAGACACACTTTCCCCCTTTTAAACCTCTCTGCATGTTTATATATGTGTGTGTATGTTTATATGTGTGTGTATATATAAAGCTTTCTCTCTGTTGGTGATACTGAAATTGGTGTGTACCTCCAATTTATGCCATATTTGAATAAAATAAACACTAGTTAAATCTTACTGAGTTCCATTTGCTGATTATCTGTTTGGTTTATAGTTTTTATTCAATATAGAAAAGACCAAAGGTCAGGGACTGGATAAAAAAAATGAAGAATTTAGTATGAATAAAAGCATGTGTGCACTGCTACTCTGTGCTGGTCCCAAAATACTGTGAGCATGACCTTGCCTGCCGAGAGTTGGGCACACACCTTCTTTGGAGGCGGTTAGTCATGATGCTTCCATTGCATCGACTGGACTTTTGCCTCCGGATCATATTAATGGACCCAGCTTTCATCCTGTGTGATCAGTCTGTTGAAAATGTCCTCCTGGTATCCATGGCACATTGTCAATACAGCCTGAGAGCATTCGGCTCATTCCTGCTTCTGGAAAGGTGTGAGCAGCCGGGGTAACTCAGCAAGCAGATACCTTATTTATTTGAAGATGGTATTGGATGATTTTTTTCCACGGACCCCACACTAATCTTGACAGGTGGCAAATGGTTATGTGGTGATTTTCCAAAATGGCGACCTCCACTTGCTGGGTGGTGTGTTCATCAATAGCAGAATGGAGTTGCCCAGGAATTGTAGCTGTTTGCACCGAAGTCCAACCACACCCTACATCATATGCTGGGGAATCATCACCATAAACCCCTTTCATCTCGTCGAACATCTCCTTTGGTGTGCAGCCTTTCAAGTCAAGGAACTTGATGACTGCTCTGTATTCCACTGGGTCCATTATCAAACCTCACACTACTTCACCTGTAAAATCAAAATCGTTATCAGTTTATTTATTGATTGATTGATTTACTGCATTTGTATACTGCCTTTCTCAACCAATCGGCAACTCAAGGCGGTTTCCAACAAATCAGTATACATAAAAACATAATACCAATTAAAACAATAAACAATATAAAACATCACAACAGCAATAAAAAACATCATTAGCATCTCCTCATTATCAAGCATTGTCCAGTTCCATTGCCAAGTCAATTTGATTTCCTATATTAGCTACTCTGCATTTCTAAATGCTTGCTCAAACAGCCATGTTTTAACTTGCCTCCGAAACGTTAAGAGGGAGGGTGCAGATCCGATCTCCTTAGGCAGGGTGTTCCAAAGCCGAGGGGTCACCACTGAGAAGGCCCTGTCTCTCGTCCATGCCAAGCGTACTTGTGATGATGGCGGGACCAAGAGCAGGGCCTCCCCAGACGATCTTAAGGTCCTCGATGGTTCGTAAGGGGAGATACATTCGGACAGAACCGTTTAAAATGGTTCTAAGTTTTAAATTGGCACGTAACCTATAGAGACTTATATCATTGCACATGTGCAGTTTTAGTGTCCTGTGATAAAAAGTAGTGAGTCAGGGGAAATCTTTAATGAACACTCCTCGTATATCTGTGCAATGTCCAGAGTGGGAGAAAGAACTCTTGTCTGTTTTGAGGCAAGTGTGAATGTTGCAATGATTAGCATTGAATAGCCTTGCAGCTTCAAAGCCAGGCTGCTTTCTGCCTGGGGTGAATCCTTTGTTGGGAGGTGTTAGCTGGCCCTGATTGTTTCCTGTCTGGAGTTCCCTGTTTTCTGACAATTTTTCTTTATTTACTTGTGTATATTAATTGAGGCAACATTCACACTTGCCTCAAACAGACAAGAGTTCTTTCTCTCACCCTGGACATTGCACAAATATATGAACTCCACTTGCCTTGTTTCCAACAGACCTCACAATCTTTGAGGAGGCCTGTCATAGATGTGGTTAAACGTCAGGAGAGAATGATTCTAGAACCCGGAAAACTTTCAGCAATCCAGTGATTCCAGCCATTTATTTATTGTGTCATCAGCAACCATACCATTGTATTACATTTCTAACAGAACAAAACAAACTAACAGATTAAAAAAAACCCACAGATTTTGCAAACTTGGTAGTTGATTAAATGTCCTTTGACCAGTATCTGGCCACTTGGAGTGCCTCTGGTGTTGCCGCAAGAAGGTCCTCCATTGTGCATGTGGCAGGGCTCAGGTGCATTGCAGCAGGTGGTCAGTGGTTTGCTCTTCTCCGCACTCGCATGCCGAGGATTCCACCCTGTAGCCCCATTTCTTAAGATTGGCTCTGCATCTCGTGGTGCCAGAGCGCAGTCTGTTCAGCGCCTTCCAAGTCGCCCAGTCTTCTGTGTGCCCAGGGGGGAGTCTCTCATCTGGTATCACCCATGGATTGAGGTGCTGGGTTTGGCCTGCCACTTTTGGACTCTCGCTTGCTGAGGTGTTCCAGTGAGTGTCTCTATAGATCTAAGAAAACTACGTCTTGATTTAAGTCGTTGACGTGCTGGCTGATACCCAAACGGGATGAGCTGAAGATGTCTCTGCCTTGGTCCTTTCACTATTGGCTGCTACTTCCCGGTGGATGTCAGGTGGTGCAATACCGGCTAAGCAGTGTAATTTCTACAGTGGTGTAGGGCGCAGACACCCTGTGATAATGCAGCATGTCTCATTAAGAGCCACATCTACTGTTTTAGTGTGGTGAGATGTGTTCCACACTGGGCATGCGTACTCAGCAGCAGGGTAGCATAGCACAAGGGCAGATGTCTTCACTGTGTCTGGTTGTGATCCCCAGGTTGTGCCAGCCAGCTTTTGTATGATATTGTTTCTAGCACCCACTTTTTGCTTGATATTCAGGCAGTGTTTGAGAAGGCCTGTCATAGATGTGGGCAAAACGTCAGGAGAGAATGACTCTGGAACCCGGAAAACTTTCAGCAATCCAGTGATTCCAGCCATGAAAGCCTTCGACAATACAATAATACTTCTGGCATTGCAGAGGGATTGGTTGGTGGCTGTACAGCTGGATTGTGACAGTAAAATAACCCGGAAGTCGTGGAAGGCGTTCCTCTTTATACTTTTCCTACTTCTATAGTTCCCCTTGCCCAAAAGGAACCGGAAGTCGTGGGATGTGTACGTCATTCAACCTTTCCTATCTCTATGGTGCTCCTCGCCTGAAGGAAGCCGAGCCACCCACCCGACGCTCTATCTATTCTCTCGGCCGTCGACTCTCTGAGCCTGCCTGCCTTTTCCCGTCGTGCCCCGCGATTGTTGCTCTGTCACGGTGCTAGCCGGTGCGTGTGAGAGGCGCAGCCATGAAGCAGGAAGGCGGCTCGAGGCGCCGCGCCGGGCAGGAGAAGGCCAAGCCCCCGCCCGCGGAGCCCCCCCAGCCCCCGCCGCCGCCCGCCGACGTCGAAATGCACGAGGAGGCCTCGGCGGCGCCTTCCGAGCCCGCTTCGGCCGAGAAGTCGCAGCGCGAGCTGGACGCCGTCACGCTCGAAGGTGAGGACGGAATGAACCATTCCAGGAGTAGGGGAGGGGGGCACCCCATTGTGGTATGGCCCAGGTGAGGGCGTGGCTGCCGAACGTTCTGAGGCTCTCCTATTGGCCAGGGGTGTTAGGTATGCAAATTGATGGGCGGGGCTACATTAGGGGCGAGGGGACTGTCTTTCTGGAGGGGGCTGAGATACCTGGCAGCTGGTCCCTCACTCCATGGCAGCGTTTGGTTGGAAGATGGCTGCCTCAACGAAGGGATAATATTATTGTAATGTAATACAATGGAGTACTAACAATAATACAATATAATAACATAATAATATTGTAATATAATAATACTAATATATTAATTAGAATGCTACTGATAATCTTCTATATAAATAAAAATGTAATGTTAGTTTGTGGGATTAACATAACCTCAAAACCACTGGGCGAATTATTATTATTATTAACTTTATTTGTACCCCACTAACATCTCCCGAAAGACTCAATGCGGCTTACAAAGGCCGAGGCCTCAATAAAAACAACAGCATAACAATACACATAACATTATAAAGCAAATCAAAACTACAACAGCAAAACAGCAGAGAGGAAACAACCAGGCACATCTTAACACCTCTCAACAGAACATTTTCCCAGGCTCAGCCAGGCCTTCAAATGCTAATGAAGGTGGTCAGCTGAAACATTCACACCTAGCTTCAGCAGAGAGCTCTTTGCCCCGCCCCAGTCATTCCACAGATATATAAACCCATTTTCCTATTTCCAGCAGACCTCACTACCTCTGAGGATGCTTGCCATAGATGCAGGCGAAACGTCAGGAGAAATGCCTCTGGAACATGGCCCTATAGCCCGAAAAAACCTACAAGAACCAAATCAAAACGTTAAGCAATAACGGTAAACAATAAAACAATACACCATAACACAATAAAATTAGGGCCGGGCCGAATGTAATGGGTACAGATTAAAAAGTGCTGGGTATGACAGGTGAAATGTAGGATTTTAGGGTAAATGCGATGTGCACACAATCTTAAATCTCTGATAAAGTGCTTCTGGGACATATTGCTGGAGTTTCCTATTCTGGAAAGGCACATCGGAACAGCCAGGTCTTCAAACTCTTCCTAAAGACTGCCAAATTTGGGCACAATACACCTGTCAGGCCAACGAGTGACCATCACTCACAAAAAACACTAAAAAACACAGCAAAAGAGACTTAAAAAGCCAAAAATAAAAAATACATTACAACACATGCACAAAACCTCATATATATACACAAACACACATATAAACATATATACACACACACAAAACACATATATACAGACTGGGCCACAGCAACGGGTAGCAGGGGACAGCTAATGCATAATATATAATGGTAATGCAGTTTTATTATTGTATATTTTTATGGAGCCCCTGGTGGTGCAGTGGGTTGAAGCGCTGAGCTGCTGAATTTGCTGACCGAAAGGTCGCAGGTTCGACTCTGGGAGCGGCGTGAGCTCCCGCTGTTAGCCCCAGCTCCTGCCAAACTAGCAGTTTAAAAACATGCAAATGTGAGTAGATCAGTAGGTACCGCTCCGACGGTAAGGTAGCAGTGCTCCATTCAGTCATGCTGGTCACATGACCTTGGAGGTGTATATGGACAACACTGGCTCTTCAGCTTAGAAATGGAGATGAGCACCAAGCCCCAGAGTTGGACACGAGCGGACTTAATGTCAGGGGAAAACCTTTACCTATTGCATATTTTAAGTTGTATTGTAATGTTTTTAATTGTGAGCCGCTTTGAGTCTCCTTATGGAGAGATAATGCAGAATACAAATAAATAAATAAATAAGGGAGGGATGCCAGGTCAATGACACTATGTAATACCATTTTTGTTCCTGGGTTATAAATATAATTTTCTAATTGCTTCTATCATTAAAAACATTGATAAAGTTTATTAAACTGCAGCACATTTGGCTCCATATAATAATAATAATAACAACAACAAATACCTATACCCCGCTTTATCTCCCCCAAAGGGGACTCCATAGTGGCTTAACATAAAAGCATTGGCATACTTAATCCTGGTTTAATGTTCATATATTTTATATGGTTATGCTGATGCTTTTATGTTAAGTCGCTTTGCATCCCCTTCAGGGGAGATAAAGCGGGTTATAAATAAATATAATAATAATAGTTACCATTTAAAATATACAAATATATGAACATTAAAACAGGATTAAACATAGTCTTTTAAAATTCCCAGTTAAAAACCATTCAAACATTCAAAGTTAAAACCACAGCACGCCCTCAATTGATTTTAAACACCATCTTTAAAAGCCTGTCCGAATACAAAGGTTTTAGTCAACCGCCTTAAATACAGCAGTGAGGGGGCCTGAGTGGAGGGGCATCCACCGAGAAGGAGGGCCTGCTTTCTTATTCCCACCAACCGAGCTTGAGATGGAGGTGGGACTGAGAGAAGGGCCTCACCTGAAGATTTCAGGGCCCAGGCAGGTTCATACAAGGGGATGTGGTCACCCAAACCTCGAGATGTTTTAGACTTCAGCTCCCATAAATCTAAGCTGGTTTTCCAGCTGTTAGGAATTGTGGGAGCTGAAGTCCAAAACATCTGGAGGAGCAGAGTTTGAGAAACACTGGTATAGATACATCCTTGGACTTCATCTCCCAGAAACCCCAAATGTCAGGAATTCTGGGAGCTTGGGTCCAAAAGATCTGGAATACCAACATTTGGGAGACACAGGCCAAGAGCCATCTTCTGCCCTGTAACATTTGAGGCTAAGGCAAGATAGAGGCAGTAGTTGTCTGGTCTTACCCAAAAAGCCATTCAAGGACATGATTGAGAAACTCAGGAAGGACAACGGCTGCATGTTAGAGTTACAGTGGAGTAACTGATACAGCATTGTATATTTTCCAGCAAATGTGTAAATTGGAGACTATAAAATGCTTCTACAGTTGATACTGGAAAACCTCAGCCAATCAAGATGATGTATATGTGTACAGTGTTTCGAAATCTCTGTACATATGTGGTATGTGTTGATGTTTCCTTGAGCTGTCGTTTATAGGAGGCATCATTCTGAATGGCTGGATCATATTTGATTTTGAAATAAACGCTGGGTAAATAGGGTTGGACTAGTATCTTGGTGTATTTTTGCCTATTTCTGTCGCTTACATGTGTGAAGTAATAAGCAAAACCATCAATTTGAGCCTCTGAGAGAAAGAATAGGTTCAGCATATATTTTAAGTTCAGTAGATGACACCCTATTCCAGGTACCATCTCTCCCCCTGAGGTTGCAGCAGAGGGAACAAGGTAAGACCATTCCTCTCAGGCACCATCTACACTACCATATAATCCAGTTTCTGAATCCACATTTATCTTCTTTGAACTGAATTATATGGCAGTGTAGACTCATAAAATCCAGTTCAAAGCAGATAATCTGGATTCAGAAACTGGGTTATATGGCAGTGTAGATGAGGCATTACACTTTAACTCCACTTTATAATCCTGGGATTTGTAATTTGATGAGGTATTTTGGATTTTCAGTCAGGGAGCTCTAGCACTTCAACTCGCAGACTTGTAAAAGGGACCCTCATTGTATAATACTGCAGTATTAGGGTTCCTTTCCTAAGAAGACTCTCCAGAGCTGTTTCACAGATTGCATTTCCCTTGCCCCAAATGCATGGGACCAGAAGTGTTTGGGATGTTTATTTAATTTTTATTACTATTATTTTGAATTTTTGAATACAGGCATATACATCTTGAAGATGGGACATCCACCTAAACATGAAATTCATTATGTTCCATCTACATCTTATATACATAGTCTGAAGATAATTTTTCATACAATATATTTAATTGTAATAATGTGCATAAAACAAAGTTTGTGCCCAATGAATCACTATAAAGCAACAGTAATACTATCTCAGACACACATAGAATCATAGAGTTGGAAGAGACCTGAGCCATTCAGTCCAACCTTCTGCCAAGAAGCAGGAAAATTGCATTTAAAGCACATGTGAACAGTTTTGGAGTATTTTGAATTCCAAATAAGGAATGCTGAACTTGCAATTTCAATACAAAATGTTTGTGTTTGAAATTTGAAATACATTCAAACACCAAAGAGGAAGAGACTTTGTTTGCAAAAGCAAGCCTTGTAGCATGGCATCTAATTATAAAACTAGTTTTATTCTATTCTTTTAAATACTGGGTTGCTGTGAGTTTTCCGGGCTGTATGGTCATGTTCCAGAAGCATTCTCTCCTGATGTTTCCAGGAGAATGCTTCTGGAACATGGCCATACAGCCATGTAACTCAGTGATTCCAGCCATAAAAGCCTTCGACAACACTTTTTAAGTACTGTTTGTTGTTTGGCTTTTGTTATGAAAATCCTCTAGCAGCATACTTTTGTTTTAAAATAGCATAGGCTACAAATAGGCCACAGAAGAGTATTACAAAGAGAGAAATCTAATAGTGTAAACAAAGTCCTCATCAAAAATGAATGTATGTTTATGTCTTGAAGTCATCTTCAAAGCATACACATCAAATTATAGCAAGTCAACTTATTTCATAGATGGCCCAAAAAATCTGAGCTAAATTAGTAAAGTCCACAGCGGAGACTAGGAAAGGTAATAGAGATAGTTTGGGATAATACAAATCAGACATTGTTATTGTTATCATGTCACTGCTACTGTAATTTTAAAGAGCCAGTATATAGAAAAAGTTTTAATGTTTGTAATGGAAAGTGCTTATTTTACTTTTAAAAGTTGTATATTATTTGATGTCATGGCCTATGACTGGTACAATAAACCATTCATTCATTCATAGCATATTCATAACCAAAGAATATCTGGCAGCAGTTTGCCAATGCTTTCTTCTGAAATATAACATAGAAAACCTGGGGTTCCTTAAAGGATAATGTATGTTTATGTCATGGAATATAAATTATTATTAATACAAATTATTATTAAATTATTAAAGATGGTTGAAATGGAAAATTTGCAAAGAACATTGTATTATCTGAATTAAGCTTCAGCTTGTTAGCCATCATACAGTCTATCACTGACGACAAGTACCAGCTTAGAACCAATAACACCTTCCATGGAGTTAGGTGGAAAGGAATAATAGTATTAAAGAGTGTAGAAACGATAAGCAAACTGAATGATGATAATTTAAATGCTCTTAAATATGTTGCAAAAATCTGCTTAGTACTTCAAGCTGGTCTCTAAATGACCATTTCACAGTGCGCTGTTTTTTCTACAGGACAAGGTGCTTTCTGTAACATCTCATCTCAGGAAGGCCTAGTGCTAATGTCTATGTTCCACTTTATTCTTTTCTCATCATTGACCTACCTGTACTGCAGTTCAAACAGTGATGTCATGACACCTAGTACAGAAAGAGGGTGAACATTACAACACAGACTTTATTACATTACTATACAAACTTTTTAGTGGTTATCAGAAATCTGCATTCTAATTATGAAAGTAACTATTTGCATTCTTAATACATGCTCACACTAATTGAACCCATACCACAAATGAAATGTCAATTGAAATATTGAACGAACTTGTCATTGCTCAGAGAGCTTTGGATGTGTTGTTTTAAAGTCTCGAGATTTCTTGCATAAGGTTTGCATCAATCAGGGTTAGATTTGTGGTTTTCGTTTAGTTTAACTTTAATGTTGTTGTTCAAGCTGCCTTGCAATGTTTAGTTGCTCCAACCAATGACAGACACATCGATGACTGTGGAGTATAGTGCAGCCTGTTTGCATTAAACTTTCTCTTGTTTTTGGTCATTGCAGACATCAAGGAACACGTCAAGCAGCTGGAGAAAGCTGTATCTGGGAAGGAACCACGCTATGTCCTGCGTGCCCTGAGAGCTTTGCCATCCACTTCCCGCCGCCTCAACCCCAATGTGCTCCAGAAGGCCACCAATGGCTTTTTCACATCTAACAGTGCTGTACGGGACTTCCTTATCAGTTTCCTGGAAGAGGCGAGTCCAGGAGGGATTTATGGGGTGGCTGGGAAATCTCACAGAGGCTGGTTTAACATTTCATAAAATACTTATTTTGGCCTCTAGGGCTGCTCTTTGGAGACCTTCTTGAATCTTTGAGGAGCACTGCCATACTTCCCAGTATTTTATATCATACCTTACTAACTTGAATTGTAATAGGTGGGCAACATAGGCTCTCCAGAGGCTCAATGTGAAGCCTTTTGTAAGACTTGGTGAGGAATTGGTAAGAAGCGGAGAGGCAAGGATCAAAGCCTTTCCTTGACCAGATCACAGCCTCTCTTTGACTTAATCACATCTCTCCTACCTTTTTGTAGCCTATGGACACAGAAGCTGACTTGCAGTTCCGGCCCCGCACAGGCAAAGCAGCTTCCACTCCTCTTCTGCCAGAGGTAGAAGCCTATCTCCAGCTGCTCCTGGTCATCTATCTGATGAATAGCAAGCGCTATCAAGAGGTAACACACCCTTCTCAGCTCCCAGCTGGTGGTAGAAGAAGGCAGAAAAAATCTGGCAAATTACTTCCCACTCTGTACAAACCCAACTCAGAATTTTAGATGAAGATTTGCTAATATAAGAATGGATTACTTTCAGGGCTTAAGCTGGTCACATCAGCTCCCAAGGAGAACCAAAAAAATGTCCTTCAGAAGCCATTATAAGCCCAGAGAGTTCTTTTTAAAAAAAATGACAAGAGGCTATTTAGCCCTTGTTGGCTAAACACAACAAAACACATGTTGCGGACATTTTGGAGAAAGGGTGTGTTTTTGGCACTGGGAGCAATAGGGTCATACTTCTATAGCCATAGCGTCTTCATGCACTTATTCATGTTTCGTGCACTCCTGGGCTAATAGCAGGTGTAAGAGGTGAATGTATACAACTGTGTACTTTGTAGATAGAAATAAGTTTCAAAGGAAGTGGGCAGCTTTAAACTCATAAAATGATGAAGTTTTATGCAAATGGGTGCAGTGGGTTAAATCGCGAAAGGTCAGCGATTCGGATACAGGGAGTGGGGCGAGCTCCCACTGTTAGGCCCAGCTTCTACCACCCTAGCAGTTCAAAAACATGCAAATATTAGTAGATCAATAGGTACCACTTCGGTGGGAAGGTAACACCACTCCATGTAGTCATGCTGACCACATGACCTAGGAGGTGTCTACGGACAACACTGGCTCATCGGCTTAGAAATGGAGATGAGCACCACCCCCAAGAGTCAGACATGACTAGACTTAATGTCAAGGGAAGCCTTTACCTTTATACAAAGTGACTTTTGACATTGGTCCCAGGCCTCTGAATGCACTTGTGGCCCCAAATCTTTCCACTAAATTCCATGTTTCCAAATATTCACAACTCCCCATATGCACAGTTTGTGGACAGTTAAAACTGATGTTCCCCTTATATTCATTCCAGGTTGAGGGATCTCTTAAGTTCATCTGTTACAGTGAACTGGTATGAGTTACCCTGGACGTCATTGAACAATTTTGGCATCCTGGCTTGCTTCTATCTGTGAGGGCCATAAATGGTGAACTTTATGTGAATAAGGCAGGAAGTCCAAGTACCCAGTAAGAGGACTCCTGCATATCAGTACTTGCAAGGTCATAGCATGAAATCTCATTCCCTCCTCCTTCTAGGCCCAGAAGGTTTCGGATGATCTGATGCAGAAGACAAGTCTTCAGAACCGTCGTGCCCTTGACCTGGTGGTGGCAAAATGTTACTATTACCATGCACGCATCTATGAGTTCTTGAACAAGCTAGATGTGGTTAGGAGGTAGGTCTGGCAACATCCAGGAGTTGCCATAATCTTGTTCCTTCCTCTGCAGTATTGTTTTTCCAAGCCTTCTTACTGACACACTTGTTTTCATTCCTTCTCTTTTCAAAGTTTCCTTCATGCTCGCTTAAGGACAGCAACACTTCGGCATGATGCAGATGGACAGGCTACTCTCCTGAATCTTCTGCTGAGAAACTACCTTCACTATGACCTCTATGACCAGGCAGAAAAGCTGGTTTCCAAGTCAGTGTTCCCTGAGCAAGCAAACAACAATGAATGGGCCAGGTACCTCTACTACACAGGTGAGAAAAAGAACTGAATTCCTTCTCAAGATCCCAGATAACCTGAGCCAAACATGAGTCTGAGCTCTGAGTCTCACATACTCAAGCTTATGTCCAATTTTGGTCAAAGAAAGTAAAAAAAAAAAAAAACCCCAAACCATTACTTAAATCACTTAGCCATATTACTTGCTTATTTGCTTAATTTAATCTATTGTCGAAGGATTGTCGAAGGATTTCATGGCCGGAATCACTGGGCTGTTGTAAGTTTTTTCGGGCTATATGGCCATGTTCTAGAGGCATTTTCTCCTGACATTTCGCCTGCATCTATGGCAAGCATCCTCAGCGGTAGTGAGGTCTATTGGAACTAGGAAAGTGGGTTTATATATCTGTGGAATGACCAGGGTGGGGCAAAGAACTCTTGTCTGTTGGAGTTAGGTGTGAATGTTTCAACTGACCACCTTGATTAGCATTTGATGGCCTGGCAGTGCCTGGGGCAGTCTTTTGTTGAGAGGTGATTAGATGTGCCTGATTGTTTCCACTCTGTTGTTTTGCTGATATATAGCTGATAGATTCGAGACATTGAGTTTGTTTAAAAAAAAGAAGAAAAAGAATGAAGGAATCTACTCTTAGTAATCCATTGTCCATCACTAACACAGACGTTCCGATTTATATAGAGCTTTGCCAAATAGTCTTTTATTTAAGTGTAACTGAATCAAAGTCTTGACAACAGAGGAGTAACTTCTTAGGGTTGGTAGAGGCATCTTATCAGCCCACACTTTTCCTCTGTGCTAATTATTTCAGCAATTTCTTGCTCTTGCTTTAGAATGCATATTGTTCTTTTCCTCCATATGTTGGATTGAAAGAAATTCACAGAACAAAACAGCAAAATGTATACTAAAAATTAAAATTCTCATGCTGCAAAATGTACACTAAAAATTAAAATTCTCATGCCTGTACTTTTGAGGTGTTTATTAACATCTTAGCAGTATATCTACATGAGGGATATCACCAGCATTCCAGAGATTGTACTGGAGAACCTTCCATTCTCCATTGATAGTCAAGGACAGGCCTACACAACTTCCAGCCCTCCCAGAATTCCTGACCATTAACAAACTGGCTGAGGGTTCTGGAAGCTGAAGTCCCAAACACCTGGAGATCCACAGGCCTGGTCTAGAGCATAGTACAGTTGTTAAAGAAAGAAGGGTAAAAAGTGAAAGATATTAAACATAAAAGTGAAAAAAAATTAACTCTTTATCATTTCATGTGTTTTTGCCTAACATGCAATAAAATGCATGATAGAACTGGGTAACAGAATTTCAGTTCAACTTGAGTCATAAAGTACCTTTGACCAGGACAGTTCATACTTGCCAGTATATGAGTTGGACTTGGGCTTGCAAAAAATAACATCCTCTGAGTTATGAGAGGTGTGGTTGAAGCATCTTGTGCTCAGAGTTTGAAAAACATTACATTTTTGGACTCACAAAATCCCTTGACTACCCAGCCCAGTGTTTCTGCTGACTGGAGATTATGGAAGTTCTATTGCCACGTGCCTTCAAGTCATTTCTGACTTATACTAACTCTTAAGGCAAAAATATCATAGAATTTTCTGGGGCTATATGGGCTAACCCAATCAGTTTCCATTATTAAGTTGCAAATTGGATCCTGGTCTCCAAAGTTGAGTCCAATATCCAAACCACCACACCATACTGGCTCATTGTGGCAGCTATTTGTGATTGACTTGTGCACGATACACATGTAAACATTGTTTTTGGTTGGGATCTCCTCAACCAAAAAGTAACATTTTCAGCTTACGTTTCAACTTTTATACCGTTCATACACCAAACAGAAGTCACAGGTGATCACTCATGGTTGAGTATGATTGTCTTCCAAGGGTAGAGTCTTAGTGGTGGGCCTGTAAGTGTCTGTGGAGACTTATCCTGGACTCACATGGTCTTCACATCGAGTACAAGGGTTTGCTTGATGCACCTTCCTCTTGACACATTTCTACCTTTCACCCTCTTTTTCATGCCTCTTCAAAATCCATATAATTGTTCATAACAGCTGACCTCCAGTTAGAATGCTCAAGGGCCAAGGCTTCTTGTTCTCAGTGTTTAGATCAAAAATTTTAAGGCTAGTTTTAAGCCCAGCTATAATTTTTTTTGTCCGATATAATTTTTTTTGTTGTCCACTGATATTCCATTTTCCTTTCCGGAGATAATAGTAACATAACTGCTTTGGGAGATAGTGATCAGGCATTTGGACAGTGTGCCCAGTCCAGCAAAGTTAATGACTAAGAATCATTTCTTCAGTGCTGGTGGTCTCTGGTTCTTCCAAAACACTGACATTTGTCTGCCTATCAAGAGATAGGCAGGATTTTTCCAAGGAATCTTTCCAGAAGTTGAGAGTGACATTTGTAGACAATCCATGTTTTACAGGTGTACAATAGAGTTGGAAGGACAATAGCTTTATAAACAAGCATCTTGGTATCCCTCCAAATGTCCCAACCCGCAAACACACTGTGCTTCATTCAAAAAAGCCACAAAGGGAGTAGGGATTGACAGGACCAGCTTGGGTGATACTCGCTTACTCAACACCCTCTTCTTGAGGAACTTCTTTGCCTTCACCCTCCAGAATACAATTTTAGCATTGGAGTGCAGGAACCACTTTGGAATGCCCTCCCCAAGGAGAGCAAATTGGCCCCCTCCATACCCTCCTTTAAGAAACAACTTGAAATATTCTTATGCTTTCAAATATATAATGAGAAGGAGGAATAAAGCTCATAGCACAGATTAAGCGGAATAGGAAAAGGAACTGATATAACACTTTACCTCAGCTGGTTTTTAAAATTTCCTTTAATTATCATTATTTGATGCAACTGTTTGTTTTAACTTACTGTACAATGTTTAGTATTGTCTTTTTTACATTTTGATAGTTTTTTGTTTATATAAGCATTCAATGTTTACCTGTTACCGTGTTGGAGGCCGCCCTGTGTCCCCATGGGGAGATAGGGTGAGATGCAAATAAAGTGTTATTATTATTATTGCCACCACCTTTTGGGCAGAACTCTCCAGACAGCCTTGGATTACTACCACCATTTCTCTCTTTCCTGGTACTGAGTTTCTCTTCCTTTCCAGGGCGCATCAAGGCCATCCAGCTGGAATATTCCGAAGCCCGGAGGACCATGACAAACGCCCTACGGAAAGCACCACAGCACACAGCAGTTGGCTTCAAACAGACAGTGAGTAATTTTGTCCTCCAGGTGGCGCTATGAGCTCATGCTAGAAGGGAGCTAGAATCTGCCATTCACACACTGCTCTACATCAGTGGGCTGCATTGTGGCAGAATATATTTATCTTTTGTCTCTGTTCTAGGTCCATAAGCTGCTGATTGTGGTAGAACTGCTGCTAGGTGAGATCCCGGACAGACTGCAATTTCGGCAGCCATCTCTGAAAAGGTCCCTCATGCCCTACTTCCTCTTGACACAGGGTAAGTGGTGCAGTTGAGCCCTACTTAACAATGCAAAGAAAACAATGGACAAGGATACTGAACTGCAAGTGTGTGGAGGAGTCTTTAATAAAATTATATATTCCATATACGTTTCAGAATCCTTGTGTTAGATTTTCCATATACGTTTCAGAATCCTTGTGTTAGCACAGTCCATTTTGTTCATCTCTATTTTTTTTTATATAAATAGTAGTTTTGTTTGAAAGGTGTTTGAAATGTTGTGGCTTGCTTTAAGGATGAAGACTTAAATCATACACATAGTTCCTATAGAATAGACCCATTGAAGCAATGGATTCTGCATAATCAGTTCGTTGAGTGGATCTACTCTAGTTAGTACCAGCAATTGGATTTAGCCCCAAAGTATCACAGTACTTTTAGTAATACAAAGTCCTGGGGATGCAGGCAAAGCAGTGATGTACACTTATTCCACCCATTTGTCCACCAGCATTTGTCTCCAAACACCACCAGCAAACCGAAATAGATAGAATAAGTCTATATAAATAAAAATGTAATGTTCGTTTGTGGGATTAACATAACTCAAAAACCACTGGAAGAATTGAGACGACATTTGGACACAATACACCTATTGAGCCAACTAGTGACCATCACTGATGAAAACACTGAAAAACACAGTGGAAGGGACTTAAAAGCCAAAAATGCAAAACGACGCTACAGCACATGCAAAAAACCATATATACACACACATATACACATATATACACACACAAAACACATATACACAGACTGAGCCACAGCAACGCGTGGCAGGGGACAGCTAGTAGTAGTAGTAGTAGTAATAATAATAATAATAATAATAACAACAACAACAACTTTATTTATACCCCGCCACCATCTCCCTGATGAGGACTCGGAGCGGCTTACATGACACCAAGCCCAAACAACAATTACAATAAAGAAAAAACCAAAACACAAATCGAAGACATGAACCATAAACAATAGCATCATATTAACATAAAACATATGCATACATAACAATATAAAAATTACAGTGAGCACAGACACAATAATAATGGGCGGGGTACATGTAATGATTAAAAGACAATCTGATTAAAACTAATTAAAAACTCATTAGAACCAATCTGCATGCAGAGATAACCAATCCAAGCATGTAAAATGTACAAGAAGATTAGCCTGGAGTCACAACATGCATGTTTCCTTGCATTCTTTTGTATAAGCAGAGATCTTTTGGGAGTGCTTTAGTTGTCTATATCTGAGCTTCTTAAGCTTTTCCACTCGGGACCCCTCTCAGACTGATTTTTTTACGTGAATCCAGGTATATAGGTCTACAAAAGTATACAACTTAAACATTTATTGATACTAAATCAGCTTTTGCAACCCTTGCTAAACAGCTGAAGTATCTTCTACAGTGTCTTCTGCAAACTGCACAACAGATTTGCATAAACAATCACTAAGTGATGTTCTGAAAACTTAGTTTTGCCAAAATTTTGGGAACACCAACATTGAGCTAAGGGGACCTCATTTGGGGTCGGGACTCATAGTTGTTTATACTACTTGACAAGAGATTGAACTAGAAAGATCTCTGAGTCCCTTCCAGCTCTCTGAGTCTGTGTATCCTTTGCTCATATAAGCATATACTTAAACAAGAATTATCCTAGTCTCTTTTCCTTCTTTTATCTTATTTTGCTGCTTTTTAACCTACTTCCAGTTTTCTCTCACTGCTTTTTGACAATTTGTGCTCATCTGAGAGTCCCAGTGACAAATAATTTCCCTCTTATTTTCTTTTGCATTCTTCCCTCAGCGGTTCGGACAGGAAACCTGGCCAAGTTCAACCAAGTCCTTGATCAGTTTAGCGATAAGTTCCAGGCAGATGGGACTTACACCCTCATCATCCGTCTGAGGCACAATGTGATCAAGACAGGTGAGAGGCATTTGGCTCCCTACAATCTTGGCCCCTACAATCTTGTAGTAAATAACTCCCTGCTCCTGCAAAAGCTGCAGTCAAAATGCAAGCAAAAAATCACCAATGTCTGATCGATGTGCCTTATACTCTTGTTGGACTATCTTTTCGTTCCTCATGCAGGTGTTCGCATGATCAGCCTTTCCTATTCAAGGATCTCCTTGGCTGACATAGCACAGAAGTTGCAACTGGATAGCCCTGAGGATGCTGAATTCATTGTTGCCAAGGTGGGTGACTGCAGAGTTGGACTGGATGAGAATTCTCACTCATACTCTCACTTTGGCAAACTAGGGAAGTTCCATTGCCCTTTATGTTTTTAATGTCCTGTCTTTGAATTATTAGACAGTCTACCTTTGTACATTTATTTATTTATTTATAGTATTTATATCCCACCCTTCTCACCCCACAGGGGACTCAGGGTGGTTTACAATGCACTTATACATGGCAGACATTCAGTGCCATTAGACATACAACATCTATAGACAGTCACAGAGGTAATTTAACATTCCAGCTTTTCTGACTTCATGAGGGTATACTCAATTCTGGCCATAGGGGGAGCTGTTGCTTCACTGTCCACTTGTGACACCAAGTCCTTTGATAGAGTACTTCCTCATTCTTCCGTATGCTGCTGGAAGGTTTTTTTAATGGCATCGTAAATTATTTAATTAGCCTCCCCGCATAAAGCGGTATCTAAATTTCCTCCTTGACAAATGCAACTGTCTTTTGGGCTGCATAGGTCAACAGCAAGCTAGGCTATTAGTGGTTGGGAGCTCACTCCAACCTGGGCTGGCTTAGAACTCATGACCTCTTGGTCAGTAGTGATTTAATGCAGCTGGGTACTAACTAGCTGTGCCACAGGCTGGTACATCTCATGGGAGTGCAAGGATTTGGGTCATCATACTCCAGATCACAGTCCTGTTTCAACCTCTGTCTTCCTGAAACAAGCTACATTTCTTGCATGGCGGGATCAGATTGGTTGACCCTTGTAGTCTCTTCCAACCCTTTGTTTTTATGATTCTATACAGGTATGAACAGGAAGTTTTTGCGTTTTTTTTGTCAGAATAGGCTGTAAAGTCTCACAGCTGTTCTATCACTGTACCATGTTTTCTGAAAGCCTCTATAGATTCCAGGCCCATTAAGAAAATTGTGAGAGCCCGCTTAAAGGCAGTCCTTTAGCACCCTTAATGATAGAGAACCGTCTACTCCACTCTCACACCAAACTCAAAGCTTCAGAGGCTATTAAGTGTGTTTAATATGTGGGATCAGCTCATATGAACTAATAATATACTTACTCCGAACATAAGCTTGCAACTGCACGTGCTGTCAGCTTTCTCTAGAATTAACCTTTCAGGCTCACTGTCCAAATTATATGGATTTGTTCCTCTGCGGATGCTGTTGTTAGAAAATAATTGGTTCTGTGCTTGTCTGTGGTTCTCAGGCCATTCGGGATGGTGTGATTGAAGCCAGCATCAACCATGAGAAGGGCTACATCCAGTCCAAGGAGATGACAGATATCTATTCAACACGGGAACCCCAGCTGGCCTTCCACCAACGTATCTCCTTCTGTCTTGACATTCACAATATGTCTGTCAAGGTAAAGGAACAAGTGTACATTGGTATCTTCTTTGGCAGGGAGAAAAGAAGGGAGGATTTAACTAATGTAAAGTAGTATCTAAATTATGAATACGGACATCCTGAATTTGAATCTCATACCTAGAGGCACCTAGGTGACCTGGCCGACATGTGGGCTAAAGAACACTTACTGTATATAAGCCTAGTTTTTCAGCCCCTTTTTTAGACTGAAAAAGCCCCCCTCGACTTATACGCGAGTCAAGGTTATTTATTATTTTACTCTGTTATTAGTATTATTTATTATTTAATCTTTTTCTCTATTTGTTATTATTATTACATTTACATTATTTTACTCTATTATTATCATTATTACATGTATTATTTTACTCTATTTATTATTATTATTATTATTATTACATTTATTATTGTTTTATTACATTTTATTGTACTCTATTATTGTTACAAGTATTAGTTTACTCTGTTATTATTATTATAATATTTACATTATATTACTCCATTATTATTTTATTACATTTATTATTTTACTCTATTATTATTATTATTATTACTATTATTGTTATTACATTTGTTATTTTACTCTATTATTACCATTATTCTTACATTTCCATTATGTTACTCTATTATTATTTTTATGATATTTATTATTTTACTCGATGTATTGTTATTGGAAGGATACGCAAGCACATTTACACTGAAGAAGGTTAGAATAATGGTTTAATCAGAGTTCGACATAAATTACAGTTTTATGTAAAAATTCAAAAACATTTCACCTCCTGATGCCTCAATTAATTTACTTCCATTGGTATCTATTTTTTATTTTGAAACTGGCCCATAGCTGCTGCATTTCCCACTCTCGGCTTATACTCGAGTTAATACGATTTCCCAGTTTTTTGTAGTAAAATTAGGCACTTCGGCTTATATTCAGGTCAGCTTATACTCGAGTATATACGGTATCTAATAATATTGCAGGCATCACTGAGATATGCAACATCCTTTGAACATTTTTTTGTTATTATTACAAAACCCTTGTAAAACTGGGTTTCCTCAGCTTTGGGAAGAATATATGAATTAATGGAATCATGGGAAGTTGGATTTAAGGATTCAATTCCTGAAACTAAAGGAAAAAATTGTGAATGATGCATGAAGATTGTCAACCAAAGAACATAAACATAGATGCCATTGTATTTTTAGAGACTTAGAAATGTCGCTTATTTTTTTAAATACCGTACCCCAAATACCTTAACTGGTATCACCAGCAACCATGTTGGTGAGGAATCATGCAAATTGAATTCCAAAAGTAACTTTTCCCAAACTGAGCACCTCTGAATCTACTGTTCTTCTGAGCAAAAAACCTAGCTAGGGAAACCTTCAACAGTAGAGTCAGAAGTGCCGGATTTTGTATCTTGTGAGAGTGGCTTCCTTTTGTCTACTTCCTTTAATTCCTTTTCTGTTTCAGGCTATGAGGTTCCCTCCGAAGTCTTATAACAAGGACCTGGAGTCTGCAGAGGTAGGTTTCCCTGGCAACTTCTCAAGAAGCTACATTGGTTCTGGTGCAGATTTGCTCCAAACTGTGGCCCTAAGATGTTATTACTAAAGTTATAAACTTATCATGAACCAGCAGTCCTCTCAATCTCCCTCCATCACCATTAACTTCTGCAATACCTGGTACTAGCTAGGCTTCCTGTGTTGCCGACAGGCTGAGAAAGGCGGTATACAAGTACAGTAAATAATAAATAAATTCTAGTCTCATTGTGTCTATTTATGTAAGACACTACTCAACCCAAGATTGAAGCAGAGAGTGATAAACCCATCCAACAACTGAATTGAATCGAAGTGGCTTTCATGTAGAGCTACAGAAATCAAAAGCACTTCAGTTAAATATTACTGATCTAGCCCATTCATTTCAGCAGGCCTGCCCAGAGTGTGACTCAACCTGGATCCTGTCCAAATAGTTTAGGTTCATAAAAGATTTCATTGGGTCAAAAGTTCCTTTTAAACCAGTGTCGTATTTTGCTATCTTATTTACACTTTTTCTTACTCTGCATGAGAAAGTACATTTTTGTGCCAAGAAATGTTGAGTCTAGTGATCTATATAATGATAACATTGAGCATGAGGGCAAAAAGCAATGCCTAATTTTAAAAGGAAAGGGCTAAAGACATAAGACATAAATACATTTTATGGCGCAGTGGCTTAAAGTGCTGAGCTGCTGAACTTGCTGACCGAAAGGTTGCAGGTTTGAATCCGGGGAGTGGCCATGAGCTCCCACTGTTAGCTCCAGCTTCTACCAGCCTAGCAGTTTGAAAAAAATGCAGATGTGAGTAGAACAATAGGTACCGCTCCGGCGGGAAGGTAACAGCGTTCCATGAAGTCATGCAGGCCACATGATGTTGGAGGTGTCTATGGACAATGCTGGCTCTTCAGCTTAGAAATGGAGATGAGCCCAACCCCCAGAGTTGGACACAATTGGACTTAGTCAGGGGAAAACCTTTACCTTTAACCTTACATTTTATGTATGTCTTATGTTTAGTGGTTTTAATGATTTGAAGTTCATAGTTATATGTAATATGTGATTGAAGCCAGCATCAGCCATGAGAAGGGCTACATCCAGTCCAAGGAGATGACAGACATCTATTCAACACGGGAACCCCAACTGGCCTTCCACAGGGGAAAACCTTAACCTTCAATCACAGGGGAAAACCTTTACCTTTAACCTTACATTTTATGTATGTCTTACGTTTAGTGGTTTTAATGATTTGAAGTTCATAGTTACATGTAATAAACTACTTATTATGATTTCTTTGTTGTACTGTATGCTGGCATTGAATTTTTGCCATTAGTATGTTGTAAACCACCTTGAGTCAACCCCAGGGGTGAGAAAGGTGGTATGTAAATACAATAAATAAATGTATGAATTCTGACCTGCTCTGAACAGTTGGCGTAATCTTGGCTCCCGAATAGCCCAAATGTATATGATAGTAGCACAGTTGCTATTGTCTAGTGTAGGGTAGCTCAGCCACATAGAAAGTGTTTCCACGCTTTTTCCGCAGAAATATCACTGCCATTAGTTTTTAAATGGATGCCTGTCATTATATGCTACATAAGCAATTTCAAAAGAGAAGAATGCCTACTCAGAAACAGCTCTTAACCATATTTCCACACAAGTATATTCATTGAGCTTGCAAGACCCAAGCAGGACTGTTGATAACAGGATGACTAGGAGGTCTCTCATTCATCACATTGCCATGACTTGAAGTTGATGGCACTTAACGACTTGGCTCTTGTAGGAACTCAACCCTCCTTAGGGAAGTGTCTTTAATCCCAGCCTGTTGGACAGCTCAGTGTGATTCCATGCCAAAGATGTTGCACTAAACCATATGGCTGCTTTTGTTTCACAGGAGCGCCGGGAGCGTGAGCAGCAGGACCTAGAATTCGCCAAGGAAATGGCCGAGGACGATGATGATGGTTTCCCTTGATGCTCTGGGGATTGCTGCATTTATTTTTGGTTTTTTTGGTTTCTTGCTCAATACAAACTGTTGTCTACTGGTTAAAATCCAGAACTTGCCTTTATTTCTATATCCTGCATGTTGAGGGTGGCACAAAAAAACAAACCGACCACCCTTTAGCTGGTCTGAAAGAGAGAACGCGCCCACCCTGATTAAAGGGATGGCGGTCCCATTCAACTGAAGCCCACATTGTGGGTTTCAAGTTTAAATGTCCCCATAAGGGGCTGAATGCATCCCCTCTTGTTGCCCCTTTCTGGTTTTTAAGTGAACAGAGGGATGGGATGGGTGGGGAGTGGCAGTTCTGGTGGTATACCTCTTTCAGTCCACCTGGTGGAGTAATTCCACTTGGAAACGTTTTGTCAAACTTTGTTTAGGGCTTTTAAATAAAAGTTTGGGGGAAATGGAATGTCTTTTTGTCCCGAATGTTAACACAAGAGCAGCGCTCCGACACATGACAAGCTCAGAAAGGTGGGAGCTTGACTTTTGTCCTTTCCTTCCACTAATATTAGTAGAACGTCTGAACGTTTGATGTACAAAAAAATTGATACAATGATGGCAGGTAAATATTCATTATTGCTGCAAGAAGCTGGTACATTTGCAGGAAAGATCCTTCCCTCAATAAACTACATGTGCTTTGGTATGACATGTCCAAAGTTGCAAGCAGCAGAATACTTTCTGTTGAAATCTGTACAAAAGCATTTGAAGTAATAATAAAAATGGAATCTTTCAAATAGAAATGAATGTGGGCAGTGAACCACTTTTATTTATTTATTTTATTTATTTAAAACATTTATATTCTGCCCTTCTCACCCCGAAGGGGATTCAGGGCGGAGCACAGCATATACACGGCAAAGATTCAATGCCGGGACACAAATTCACATAAAATACATAAACATTAAAAAAAACTTTTATCAAAATATTAAAATACACCATTTAAAACCGTCCTAGTCAACCAAGTCAAATCTAATTGGCCTGGTAATTTTTCCTATTGCTGCTTTAGTGCCCTGTCCCGAAAGCTTGGTCCCACAGCCCAGTTTTATTTGAAATAAATAAAAATAATCAAATGCACTTCTTCTAAGATGCTAGCTTTCTTCTCATTGGATCTCTTTGAGAGCATCCCAATCCCTAAATATTTCCAATCTCCTATTCTTGGACTGCAACTCCCAGCAATCATCCAGATAGGTTGATTAGATAGAGGTAGGTAGATAGATTGATCAGGAGGACTGCTGGGAGTTGCATTCCAAGAATAGTTAGAGAAAGAAGAAGCGAAAAAGAGGAAGGGAAAGAAAAGGAGGGGAGGGAAGAGGAAGAGAAGGAAAGGAAAAAAGGGAAGGAAGGAGAGAAAGAAAGAAGGAGAGAAAGAGGGAGGGAAGGTTGGCTACAGCAACGTATGGTGGGTACAGCCAGGGGTGGCTCAACCCATTATGCAAAGTAAGCATTCGCAGTATAGTTGATTTTGCCCAGGGGCATTCTCGAGGCGCTCTTGGGGGAAAATAGACCTTGACATATGCGAGTTGTAGTTACTGGGATGTATAGTTCACCTAAAATCAAAGAGCATTCTGAACTCCACCAATGATGGAATTGAACCAAATATGGCACACAGAACTCCCATGACGAACAGAAAATATATATCAATGATTGGTTGGGGGAGCGCCAAAATACTGTTTGCTTACCATTGAAAATTACCTAGGACCGCCTCTGGGTACAGCTAGTATCACATAAAAAGGAAAACATTAGATTCTATGAATCTTTGAACTCCTCTTTTCCTTCCCAGCACAAGTAAAAATTGTACAGTCCAGAATTGGGAATGGAGTGATCTAATGACCTGTGACTTCCAAACATTTTATAATTGAATGTAAATTAATCCACATCAACCATTGATTGTGAACCAACTGGAGAGGAGGTACTCTCAAATGTAACTGCTATATACAACACAGAAAAAGATGAATGAGTTGTGTAACTGAATGAAATAACAAAGAGTCAGTCATCTCCCTGCCTTCACAACCTCATGAAGTCAAAAACTGTCAAGAAAGCACAAGGCAATCACATTTGATTTCAAAAGAGGAAAGAACCCAGAGAAGGATGGCTAAGAGGAAGTTGAATGGAAGGGGGTAAAATTTCCCCCGAAGACTTGGAGGTCATTGAAAACCACAATAGGAAAAGCTGCATTGGAATGTATACCACCGGAAAAGCAGCATCAAGTGCAGGCGGATGCTGGAGTGGTTAACAAGCAGAACAAAGGAAGCATAAAAGATGAGAACTTCCTACAGAAAATGGAAGTCTTGCCCAAATAAAGATAACGGAAAGAAATACACAGTCTGATAGATAAGGGGGAATGTGAAAGATAATGGAGTGCATTGATTGACAAATATAAACAGTGTAAAAAATAAAAATGTCTTTACATTAATCAGAAACATTAAACTGGCCAGGAAATAGGCTAATTTCAAAGGGGCGAAAGGTTTGCTAGAAAAGAATGGTGAAATTGCACAGTGGCTAAATCATTTGCATTCATCTTCTATCTGCTGCACTGAGCAGATCTTTGCTTTTTACCACTTGTAAAGTGTGCTTTGCTCCTAGAGTTGCACCTTGTACATAGCAAAGTGATGCGATGGCATTCTGAAATTTATGGACTAATATTTACAAATCACTAAACAAGGGTAATATCAAGAGTTCCTAAACCAATCAAATATCGACTTGCTCCTTTTTGAAGAAGAAAAAAATACTATTTTCCCAAGTTAGTTTCTATAATGACTGGCAATTGATTGGTATTTTTTCCCCTCCCAAAAAGCACATGTGGTGGAAGGAAAGAAGGTTTAGGCCAGTTTATTGGCAGCCATCCATTAGAGGACCTCACAACTATAGAAAAAAGCAGTGTATAGTTAAAATAAGCATTTGAATAAAATTATAAAATACCTTAAAACATTTAAGCATAAAAAAGAAAGCCTTCACTATTAACCACATTATCCAAAGTCATAGTCTGGGACATTCCTTGGGAAGTCTGACTTGGCCACGATAGTCCACACTCTGGTTACATACCGCGTAGACTACTGCAACACTCTATGTGGGGTTGCCTTTGAAGACGTCCAGAAGCTTCAACTAGTCCAATGAACAGCAGCCAGGTTGTTAACAGGAGCAGTGGTCAGGGAGCATACAACCCCCTTGTTGCGCCAGCTCCTCTGGCTACCAGTTTGCTATCGGGCCCAATTCAAAGTGCTGGCTTTGGCCTCTAAAGCCCTAAACGGTTCTGGCCCAACTTACCTGTCCAAACGTATCTCCCCTTAAAGAACCACTGAGGTCTTTAAGATCATCTGGGGAGACCCTACTCTCGGTTCCGCCGTCGTCACAAGCACGCTTGGTGGGGACGAGAGACAGGGCCTTCTCAGTGGTGGCCCATCGGCTATGGAACACCCTCCCTAGGGAGATCAGATCTGCTCCCTCCCTCTTGACGTTTTGGAGGCAAGTTAAAACGTGGCTATTCAAGCAAGTGTTTACAAATACAGAGTAGCTAATATAGGAAATTGAATGACCTGACAATGGAATTGGACAATGCTTGAGAATAATGAGATGCTGATGATGTTGTTTTTATTGCTTTTGTGATGTTTTATATTGTTTAAAGTTTTTATCTATATTATGTTCTATGTATACTGATTTGTTGGAAACCGCATTGAGTCGCCAATTGGCTGAGAAAGGCGGTATACAAATACAGTAAATAAAATAAATAATTCCAATAGTCATTGCACATAAATCCATATTTATCTATTGTACAAGATCTCAAAAGGAATGATTGAAAAGCCACATTTTTGCTTTCTTACAGAAAGTCAGGAGGGAGAGGGCTGATCTAATATCCTTAGGGAGGAAATTCCACAGCCAAGGGGCCACCACTGAGAAGGCTCAGTCTCTCATTCCCACCAGTCGCACCTGCGAAGGAAGTGGGACCAAGAGCAGGGCCTCTCCAGATGATCTATAGACTAAAGCCAGCACTTTGAATTGTGCTCGGCAGCAGACTGGCAGCGAGTAGACGCAACAGAGGGGTTGTACGCTCCCTGTACACCGCTCCAGTGAGTCATCTGGCTGCCACCCATTGGACCATTTGAAGCTTCCAAACAGTCTTCAAAGGCAACCCCATGTAGAGCATGTTGCAGTAATCTATTCTGGATGTAACCAGAGCATAGACTAGTGTGACCAAGTCTGACTTCCCAAGGTACTGGCGCACAAGTTTTAATCGTGTGAATGCTCCCCTGACCACCACCAAGACCTAGAGTTCCAGGCTCAGCGAGGAGTCCAGGAGAACTTCCAAGCTGTGAACCTGTGCCTTCAGGGGGAGTGTAACCCCATCCAGCACAGGATGTAACCCTATAACCTGTTAGGCCTAGGAGTGCCTCTGTCTTATCTGGATTGAACGTCAATTTGTTTGCCCCCATTCAGACCATCACAGCTGCCAAACACCGGTTCAGGACCTGAACAGCCTCCCTAGTAGCAGGTGAAAAGGAGCGATAGAGTTGACGTCATCTGCGTACAGATGATATTGAACTCAAAAACTCTGGATGATTTCTCCCAATGGCTTCATGTAAATGTTAAACAACATGGGAGACAGTATTGAGCCCTGCGGCACCCCACAGGACAATGGCTGCGAGGTCGAGCAGGTGTCTCCCAGCGACACCTTCTGGGAACGACCCTCCAAGAAGGACTGCAGAACAATATCTCCAAGACCCATTCCCATGAGGGGTCCTGTGATACCGTGATCTACAGTATTGAAGGCCGCTGAGAGGCCCAGCAGAACCAACATTAACACGCTACCCCTGTCCAGTTCCCAGTATAGATCATCCACAAGGTGACCAAGGCTATTTCAGTTCCATGTCCTGGCCTAAAGCCAGACTGCGCCGGATCTAAATAAACTAGATATTTGCAGATTTAACTTTTTTGGATTTGATTATTCATAGATTTGATGCATATGGACTCTCATGAATCAAGTCCTCCAGGGTGATTTTATGGTCAACTTCTCAGAGAAGCTATGGAGTACCTAAGGTTTGTTGGGAAATGTGGGTGTTTTCAATGTGTGGTTTTTCTTTCACTTTCACAAGGGTCCTGCAAAAATGGAAGGCCAGCTGTATACTTGTAAATAATAACATGCATAAACAAGTCATCAATAAATCTGCTTTCAGATTTCTCACTGCCTGGAGCCTCTTATTGTAGATGAAATAGTGGCATTTCCACCCAAGATTTTAAGTCATTGGAAAGGAACTTGATTGTTGATAACAGAAAACACAGTTGAGGCATGCTTCGCCGATGACTGCACACTGAATGATTTACTCCAGATTGACCATTCCTGTCTTCCTAACGTTTCCCCACAAAATATTCCACCACATTATTGTCCTCTTTGGGCACGAGAATTTTTTCCCGTGACCT